ATTGTAAAGTATTAAGTAATAGAAGTATGTTGAACATCAAAATGGCATCTATTTAATTTCTTATTGCATGTTCCTGGGGCCTGTTTCAGAAAGGAGGTTAAGTGAAAACTCTGAGTATGTTAACCCTGATATGAGGGAAACTCTGGGTTTTCCGTTTCAGAAAGGGGGGTATATCAAATCCGAGAAAGCAGAGTAAGTCAAGCCCGTTTCTGAAAGAGAGGTAACTTATACTCAGAGTCAGTTATCATGGTAACTTACTCTGTGAACCTAACCTGGTCGGGAGCAGGTTTTCTTCAGTAAACCCAGAGTTTATTGCGGTCTCCTCCCCTTTTTTAAAGAGTAAGTGCTGTTTAAACACCAACACTAAAATGTATTTACATTCTTTAAGGAATATATATATTGTTTGTCCATGGTTTAATTGACTAAATCTGGTTTGCAGCACTTTACCAAAAAATAAAAGGATTAAAACGTTTGCTAAACTTTTATTTGATTACAACCGTTTTTGATCATATATTTCTATTAAATCATAAAAAAATAATAGAACTCAATTATTTTTCAAACATAATTTCAAAGTTATTAATTATAAAAAAATTTCATAATCAATTATTGAAGTAAGGTGATTATGTTTTATTGAACAAATGTTTAATTTATTTAACTGTCATTTTAACTGATGATAATAACCGTAATTTAATAATGCAGTTTATATATTTAATAATTGTTTAATACCATAAACCGTGATATTTTCTGAGACGGTTCTCATACTGTGAAACTCTCCCCACATGGGGGAGTCCCCCACACCACCCCTGCTGTTAAACAAGTTACTCAGCAACTTTTACTCATGTTTTAAATTAACTACTTTTTACTTAGACTGGTATTTTTACTTTTACTTAGGTAAAAATTTATCAAAGTAATAGAAGCTTAGGTTGAATGACATTCTTCCAGTTTCACCTCTGATATTATAACAGTAAGTTACTCTAAAATAGTTATGATTATGAATTATTAACAACAAATGACATTTTCAACGGTGTAGTTAGATTAATGTAACAATTACTATCTCTAGAAAGTATTGGTCTACATATTACTAAATCCTATATCAACCTCAACCACTTGATTAATACAAGGAGGAGAGACAAGAAACTGCACTTTTAATGCTTTCAAATTAACAATGTATAATTGCATGAATTATTCTTGAATTGATCAAAGTGTATAGAGGGAGAAGGTTACACCAAAAATATACCTTTTAAAAATGTATGTTAAATCCACTATTGTTTTATACTGAATTGGTCTATAGTTTATGCAGTAGCCTATTTAATGTAATTGCATCATATTTTATTTTAAATTACAGAAGAATTAAGAGTAATCCCTTTAATTAAATTACAATATTTAGATTACTTGGTAATTAATTACACCCAACACCTCTTTTTTTTGTCTGGCTGTTGCCATGGTGACTCATAATATCTGTGCTCCATTGATAATGGCTTTTTATAGTTGTGGTGCACGCTTAACTCAGAGTCAGTCAACTCAGAGTTGATTGAACTAACTCATTTCAGCTGTTCTGTAACCGAAAACTCAGAGTTTCCCATCTCAGGGTAAGTCAACTCAGAGTTCAAGCTTAAACTCGGAGTTGGTTGAACCTCCTTATTGAAACAGGCCCCTGGTCTCATTGCAAGCACATAATTTCAATTATTTGTTTTCAATAATTTAATGTCATGTTACAGCAATAATAGGAAATAACTTGGATGGATAAAAAAAAAAAAAAAACGTACAGTGCTTAGCATAAGTGAATACACCCATACTAAATTTGACTAAAAAGAGGAATCAAAAATCATCTTTTGGAAATTGATCTTAATGCCTTATTTAAAAATCCAAACTTTAAGGACTCCAATTTTCTTTGTAAATAAATAATGTATCGTAAATAAATACATTTTAAAGAGATTGAGATTAGAGATAAAGATTGGCATGTGGTACTTTCTATACGATCCTCTCTCAATGCAAATCAAACCAGCTATTGGCTAACTGAAATAAAACCATGCCAATCTCTAGATATGGTGAAGGATATGTGATGATGTGATATCATAAGTCCCAACTTTATCAGGATGCATAGTATCCTGGATCCATGAAATAACTGGCCTTTAAAAATATAAATCTATAGGAATTTGACATAGGGGTGTTCCTGTATTTTAAGGAAGAACATTTATTTATTTACGATACATTATTCATTTTAGTCCTTAAAGGTTGGATTTATTCCTCATTTCTTTTAATTAAGGCATTTAGATCAATTTCCAAAAGATGATTAAAAAAACTTTTTTTTAATAGATTATAAATTGTTGCTTTTAAAATGAAAACGTGCATGTTTTAATTTCTAAGTCACATTTTTTTCTGTATGTGTGTGTGTGTAGGCAAAGAAGATGGTAAAACCTGTAAGAGAGTTGCCATCAGGACCACCATCAGGAAAGATGACTGTAGAAGTAATGCACCTGTGAGTGTGAAAGATTCACATTAAAATTGCAATATATACATTTTCTGTTTTTCTAATCTATTATTTTAGACTCAGGTCTTCAATCCTGCTCCTGGAGGCCCAAAGCCCTGTAAAGTTAATCCGGCTTATGATTTCCAAACGATCCTAAAGAGCCTGATTAGCTGGTTCCGGTGTGTTTGATTAGAGTTGGATCTAAACAGTGGACAGTAGACCTCCAGAAGCAGGGTTGAAGACCTAATCTACTCTATTCTGTTCCCCATCCATCCCCTGGAGTTGCTAACCTCATCTCTCTTGGTTTTTCTCTTCAGGTGACTGTGTATTCATGTGATGGAAAATGTCCATCTGCCACCATCTTCAATTTTAACATTAATAGTCATGCACGTTTCTGCAAGTGCTGCCGTGAGAACGGCCTACAGAACCGCATCATTCAGCTGTACTGCACTCGAAATGCCACTACGGTGGACTATTACTACCAGGAGCCGATGGACTGCTCATGCCAGTGGAACTGATTCTTTGTGGACAGTAAAGTTAAGATCTCAGTGAGAGCACGGATTTTGACTGCATATACAGTATAGTATCTATAAAACTGCTAACTACTAACACATCACTGTTTTTGATATCTAAAATGTATCTGTAATATCTTAATCAAACATTCATTAGAATATTAACAACAAACTGCTGTTAAATTTGTGTATTGTTTAGATTTTAGAGTATTAAGATTAAAATGTTATCCATTACACTTAAACTGAAAAATCTTAAGACCTTAACTTAACCAATTGCTTTATTTAAATGCAACTTTGTGCTTTTTCTAACAAAATCACATTTCATAATAATTAGATGGGAAAAAATTTAAGAGCCAGTTTTAAGTAGTTATTTGATATTTCAGTAACACTTGCAATAATGTCACAGTATAACATTGGTTAATACATTTACTAACATTAACTATCAATGAGCATCACATTTGTTACGGTATTTATTAATAAAAACGGTTTATTGTTAGTTCCTGTTAGCTCAGGTCCATTAAATAATATTAACAGATACAACTTTTACTAATGTATTAAAACGTTTTGAAATTATATTAACTTTAACTAAGTTTAATAAATGCTTTTAATTTTTTTTCTTTGTTAGTTCATGCACTGTAAAAAAAAAATATGATCAATAACTTATGACTATATGGTTTTACATTGCGATAACTCATCAAAATAAGTTAAGCAATTTCAACTTTTTTTATAAGTTAGACAAGATTCAACTAATTTGTTAAAATTAATTAAATTAAGGCAGCAACTTTTTTTTTTTTACTTTTTTTTTAACTACTGTTGTTAAATAATGTTAGTAATAGGAATCTTGTTGCATAGTGTTACTGATATTATCTGCTTGACAGCTTCACACTTGATGAACTTGAATTTTCCATACTATAGCCATAATGTCAAAAAAATTGATTTCAGCTGCAAATGATCAAAATTGTGTAAGCCTAAAAAGGATTAACATTTCGTAAAATAACTAAAAACCTGCATGTTATTGTCAATGTTTTTTACATAATGAAATAAAAATACAAAAAAAATTGCACTGTGTGTGCAAATCAATCATTTAATTGATTTACCAAGCTTTTTTAATTACCAACAGATTATTATACCGCAGATATGAATCATTTAAGTCAACTCACTGTAAAATAACCAAATGAACTGTCAATAAAAATACAAAAAACCAGTTGGCATCAATTTGGCATCTATCACCGGAAGAGTAGGATCTTTATTACCCTGATCTCATTTCAGAAGTGGTTTATTAACTAGATCAGCCCACGCATGACTTGAGTTATATCCTGCTGAGTTGTGTTTTGCTTTCAAGTCGGATAATTAAAATGTTGGAAAAGTTCCTCTCCTCCCTTGTGTACGTCTGCTGAATCGGAATTTAAAGGAATGTTGCGTGTTCAATACAGTGAACTGTTGATTTCCACAGAGAATAACATCAAACTTTTACTAGTAAAAACAGCATCTGGGGTAGGACATGGTACTGGTATAGAAAAAGCACACGCTTCAAAAGCTGGAGGAATAGACATTTTAAAAAGCTATATGGCTCAAATAACACATTTTTGTAAATGAATTGATACATCGCATTCTAACATCCATTGCAAGTGCATTTAAATGTAACTTGAACCCGAGACATTTCTAAACCTTGCCTAATGTTTGTTAATGCCTTATTCTGACAGCTAATATAAACTGAGTTTTATTCTCAGTGTGTGATGTAATACATGTAGGAGTCTGGTGGGTGTTAGTGCGGGATTTTCACGACTGACCCTATGACTCCCACGCGCTGACTCTGTTGTCTTGACAGCCTGCACTTTATTTCGATTTGGTCAAAAATGAAAGAAAAACATGTAGTGGAGAGGAGAGGCTATCTGATCTGACTGAACGAGACCCAGACGCAGAGCTGCTTTCAAGAGGAGGTGTGGTTGAATCCTCCTGTGTGTTTTGTTATGTTATAAGATGCTGGCCTGGGCATCTGAAGTGGCAGAGGAGGCGTGCCCTCAAGGAATGTTGCTGTTTTTTTTTTTTTTTTATGTAAACTGAACTGAGCCAATTTTTGCGCTCTAAGATGCCACGGAGTGCTCTTGTGACCACAAAGACTGTTTTAGGATGCTGCTGAAGTTTGATCATACTATTGTAGGGTAGGTTATTATTACAGTGCAAGCTGTTTTACTTTAAGAATACGGTGTCGTCTATGGACGCTGGAATTATGGGATGGAGCTCCATGGACAAAGTTCTGGCCTTGTTTTGGCAACTTCTGCACTTCGTTCAGGTAACAATTCATTTATACAGTTCATTTGAGATGGATCACTTCATCTTCAAGTGCAAAAATGCAATTGTCTGCTGTGAATTAAGAAGTAAAGAAATATGCCTTTTTTGAGTTACGTAACAAAACCTGTTTATGTTAGAAAAAAATCTAAGCTGGAATAGTTTTAAAAAAATATTGTTGGTTTAACTTAAAAAAGTAAGTAATCTGGGTTGTCTTAAAATTTTAAGTTGATTCAACTGGAAAAAGTGAGTTAATACAATGAAGGAGATTAATTTAATCATCAGAAACTCAAAATAATAAGTTATCTCAACTAAATAAATTATTATAAAGTTGATTTGACAAAAGAAAATATGTTGTGATAACAAATCTTGAAAGTATTTTTTACAGTGAGTTGAAAAAACTTTAAAGTCGTCATGAAATCAAAATTGAGGGTTTGCTTTCTTAATGTTCCTGTGTCATTATTCATTAGTTAATGAGAATGAACTTTTGATGAAAGACTATAAAGGCAATACAATCTTTCATCAAAACGTAACTTTTGCATCTGAAATGGCTTTCCTTTTCAGCCGTGTTTATGCTGTAAAACATATTTTCATGATTTGTCGTCACAAATTGTATTTCTTTTGTCAAATCAACTTAGATAATGTGGTTCAGATAACATAAGATTTTGAGTTTGTTGTTTAAACCAATCTCCTGTATAAGTTTTCATTTCAATGACCTCGATATTTACCCAGGTAACTTACTTTAAGGTAAACCAAGAATACTTTTTGTTGTTGTTGTTGTTGTTGTTGTTGTTTTAGTGGATTGACCAGAAATAATGATAATCAAAAGCTAAATACTGCATTTTTTGACATTATTTTGCAGCCTTTGTAAAATCTTCCCGATAACGGATTCAGAAAATATTTTCAAGATTTGTTATCACAACATATTTTCTTTTGTCAAATCAACTTTATAATAATTTATTTAGTTCAGATAACTTATTATTTTTGAGTTTCTGATGGTTAAATTAATCTCCTTCATTGCATTAACTCACTTTTTCCAGTTCAATCAACTTAAAATTTTAAGGCAACCCAGGTTACTTACTTTTTTTAAGTGAAACCAACAATATTTTTTTACAGTGTAGTTATCACATCTTTTCTTTTGTCAAATCAACTTAAATAATTTATTTAGTTCAGATAACTTATTATTTTGAGTTTCTGATGGTTAAATTAATCTCCTTCGTTGTATTAACTCACTTTTTCCAGTTCAATGAACTTAAAATTTTAAGGCAACCAGGTTACTTCCTGTACTTTTTTAAGTTAAACCATCAATATTTTTTTACAGTGTGGTACCTAACAATAATAGAATACAGGTTTTGGCAATAATATTGCAATGATTTTTTTTTTACCTCCCTCTGGAATACAAGTCCTTTTTTAATCATTGAATATGTGTAGTACTTGCAAAATTGGGATGTGAACATCTTATCGTATGATAGAAAAGCAATGATCTGCACCCAATCCCTAGATTTTTCTTTCCTCTTGTTGTCCTTCAGGCTTTCAGTCTTCCATGTCCCAGAAGTCCATCCTCTGTCCATGTGCAGGTGGCGTTTCAGTGTTTTCCGTCACAGACAGCTAATTTTTACACACTTTCATTGGGAAACAAGGTACAAACACTATCCCTCTCAAAAGCTCTCACACATTTATAATATGTTTGATTAATTGAGTTTCTCTGTCAGGTACTGTGCAGTATTGCAGTTTGTGAAGACGTTTGTGAGTGTGTGAGGACTTTCAGAGGACCACAAGTGAATGAGAAACTGGAATATAGTCTGCAGTCATACAACAACACAGAACTGCTGGATGCCAAGACTTTCCAACTTGGTAACACATAGAAGCTTCAACCCAAAATTGTATTTATATATTTTATTAATTGAGATTTTACTTTGTTTTAATACTCTTCCTTTGCTCTATTGTTAGTTCCCCTCCTAAGGTCCTCTTTAAGCATGGAGATCTCTTCCACGACTGCCATGTTCAGCTGGTCTACATTAGATGGTGAAAGTGTCTTGGATGTGTGTTTGGATGAGCAGTGTTTTGTTGCATCCAATTTTCAGTCATTCCACCAGGTGAAAGGGTTACAACCTGGACGTCGTTACAATGTCACTGTGAAAAAGAAAACTTTCTTCCCTCAACTCCAAATTAACATTACACAAAGCCTTCAGCTGGCCATAAAGACGGGTATGTGCAAAAATTGTTGGGTTGGGTTTGTTGGGTATGTGATGAATTGCTTGTGTTCCTTTATTTGAAGGTGTTTCACCGCACTCATGATAAACAAGGTGCCAAACAGACAAGAAAACTACGTAGAAAACTCAAAAAATAAATAAACTGTCTGCACACTTGAATCCTTTAAGCAAATTTAATAGTCAAGCTTTCGGTCCTATCCTCAGGACATCCTTGTGTTCCTTTATTATTCCTTTATAGTCACTTTAGTTAAAGGTTTTTGCTAAATACATCAAGGTAAACGTCTCAAAAGTAAAGTAGACCCACAATTGTTTTACTGGGCTTGATGCCGTAAGAGAACCTTTAAGAGTTTCTCAAATACTTTTTACTCACTGGTTATGTAATTACAATTGACATTTATTAATGAAACTTGTTGCAAAGATTCGAGATTTTTAATAAATATTAACTTGAATTTCTGTCTATTTCTTTCACAAAATGACAAGTATGACTTCAGAAGATTTGAAATCTAGTGCACAAAGACTAAAGACGAGACTAAAACTATTGAAAATCTTTTTGTAAATTGAAATGAAACTGAAATAGAATATAAATATTAGATTGGAACTTTGTTAAAAGTTAAAGTCGGCGTGAAGCGGAAGTTAAGATTGTCATTTTTTCCTTGTCGTGACGTATATCCGAGTGAAACGGCTTCTGAAATTAGAAAAAAATGTAGGGCAGATCTTGATTTCGTCCTTTGGGAATTGATTGATCGTTGGAGGTTGGGCGTGGCAAACAAAATGGAGACAGATTTAAATGCGATTCTCTGAGAGGCTGTGCACCCCTCATCGGGTCTGGCCGCACCGTTTTGCCATTCCACGTGACCGAAATAGAAGACAGGTCGTTTTGATGGGGGAGGAAAGGGTAATGTATTTGATTAAAGATTTGATTAAAGATAAACACTACAATATTACATATAAAAAGAAGATTTGTCAAATTTGATTTCATGCCGACTTTAAGTTAATGTACTAAAATGACTAAAACTGAAATAAAAAATAAGCTAAAAAGAAACTAATAAAAATGACAAAAGCATTTGCTTAATCTAAAATGGAAACTGAAAATAACTCAAAGCTAAATTAAAATGTTATTAAAATTAAAAGTTGTTTGAAATAATTTGATGGGTTTTTTGGAATAATATAATATGTGACAGTATAAATCACCATTCACTTTTGTTAAATGAAAAAGCGTAGTGCTCTACTTTTGAGTAATCTCCATTTGTGCTCCATGAAAAAACCAAAATATCATGTAAATGTTTTTAAGAAGATGAAAACTGTAGTAAGTAATAAAAACTTGTCAAGACACACACATACACAGACGGTGTAACTTGTCCTCCTGCAGGTCAGTGTCCCGTTGGCTGGTTTGCTGTGGAGTGGAGCTGTTATAAGGTGAACCCAAGGTTCCAGTCATGGTCTGGAGCGAAGCAAATGTGTGAAAGATCCATCCCAGGGTCACATCTGGCCAACATAAAGACAGATGCAGAGTTTCTGTCCATCACATCCTTCTTAAAGTCCTGTGACCATCTTCTGCTGTTGTGGACGGCTTTGAATGACCATGAGGTACGTCAAACGCACATAAACAGTAATGACGAACAGTGTTGCGTTCCTATATTTTTGAAAGACATATGAAGTGTTCAGATGCAAAAGCCTCTAAATGCCATTTGAAATTTTCTTCTTTAATGATGATTTTTATCAAACTTGTATATTTAAGTTCAGTAATTTCAGTTAAATAACAATTAATAGGTAATTATCATTGCCATTTAAGTGAAATCACTAAACTTAAATATACAAGCTTGATAAAAATGATCATTCTAGAAGAAAATTTCAAATGGCATTTAGAGGCTTTTGCATCTGAACTCTTCATATGCAGCATGTATACTTTGAACAGTGTGCAAATTGTGCGTGTGCCTATATGAATATGTTTTTGCATAAATTTAAGACATTTTATACAAAATTGGAAATTAAAATGGAAAACAACTAACTTGAGGTCATGTGACGACAGTGAAGCATAGAGTGCACCGTCCACTTTTTCAGCGGCCTTGTTTCCTGAAGGTTTTCACCCATAATTCATTTTTAAATGGACTAGTTGAACCAAACTAACCAGTTACTACAGTTACCAACTTTTATTTGCAGCAAAAAAGTATTTAAAATTCAGATACTGACTTTATGGGATTGGGCTGAAGATGCTTGTTTCTATTCTCTGATTGGTGGAGCTCTCTTTGCAGAATAATGGGTAATGTAGTTTTTCACCAGGAATTCCTCTCACTAAGTAAGTTTAAATATAGTAGACTAATGCAGAGAACAAGCTCATAGCTCACAGCAGTCTGTCTTTAATTGTTTATAAGACACCCTTATTGAAAATAAATGGGGTTCCGGAACCAGGCTGTTGAATTCTAAAAATAGGGGTTGCGTACTGAAACTTAGGATGAAAATTAAGATGCAGAATGTAGTAGCCTATATACAGCCTCTGTTTTTAATATTTACAGACAGAAGGTGAACTCCGCTGGTCTGATGGCTCTGCCTACAACTTAAATATTGAAGTGACATCATCTCTTGCACCCAATCAAACGGGCTGTGTTGCGATGCAGAAGAATGCCGCTGGTCCAGGATACTTCTTCACTGCTTTTCCGTGTTACCTGCAGCTCCCCTATATATGTCAAGAGGAGTGTGAGTGAAGAAAAAAGATAAGGGGGGTATGATTTACACAAGCAGGACATCTTCCTCGATCAACATCCACTGTTGTTCTTGGAAAAAGGGGTTGGGTTCGAGTCAGGATTGATTGGGTTGATAGGAATGTTGTTATTGGACCAGCAAAGCTTCAGGATCCAGGAATATGTCCTGTTTTGATTAATTAAACAGTGTGATAAGTATTTTCAGAGAAGTTGCTCTTTTAATCTGTAGCTCTGGATTTTCTTTTGAAGGGGCTATAATTCAGAACGCCTTGTTATTAGCAACATTGGTGGCCGTTAAGTGAACTGCAGCCAGCAACTTAAAGCTCGTGCACGCGCAACAGATACACTCACGACAAAGTTCTTTCTCGCTCTTCTCCGATAAATAAAAAGAAGTTGGAAATACTTTTACAGCGAGATACTGTTAGCAAACATTCCGACTCTTTCCACGCCACTGAGAGCGAGATTTAGATATGTAAATATGTGATGCAAGCTTTCCTCTCAATAACAAGAACACACAACAAAAATGACAGCGGTGAGAAAACAGCAGTTACGAAAGTATCAGGTCATAGTAATGTGAATATGTTTGCACCAGATCGTGTCGACAAATTATCTAATTCAAATTACACTCTTATGATAGTTTGATTATAAAGTAGGCTATATTTGAGACTGTATAGATTGCAGTGGACAATGTAGCGGCAAGAGTGACGCAAGTGTTTTTTGCTAGTTTCAGCCCGACGCAGTTATCATTTTCACATCCTGCACCACGTTGTTTAAATAGCAAAGGCATTTGCACCCATTTGTGCGCTCATAGGCATGCTAGTTTAAAAAATAGGTGTGTTCAGGCACATTGTTGGCACGTCGTTAAACTAGCAAAAGTGGATTCGGACACGCCCTAAGTGCACTGCACTCTAGACTATGCACTTAGATTGTTAAAATAGGGCCCTATGGTGCTTAATTAATCCATTTTCTTTGCATGACACATCGAAATTACAGTAGAGAATAGCTCTTTTGGCATTACCCTGAACATTGTATAATCATTTAATGTGTCATAGAACAAAATAGAGGCTTTCAGGAGAGTGGGTAACTGTAGTACTACTTCTTCTTGATTTTCCTGACAAAAAACGTTGAGTCCTTCACATAAAAATCTGTCTACTACAGGCTTTCATAGACAACCTAGGAGGTTGTCTTACAAGCTGTCCACACACTGGCAAATAAAGTTTATTAATAAATGACAATTCTTACATATAGCCTCTTTAACTATGTTTCAGATGTTTCTCCGACATCATTAGAAGAATTAAGAGTAGACTCGAATGAGACAAATGCTGACAAACAATTATAAAGCCATAAAATAAATGTGGATTAGAGTTATTATTAAGTAAAACTATTACAAATAATTTTCGTTTGTTGAAATAATGCTGAAATAATAGAATAGAAATAGAAATGTTGTCTTGGCATCTAACTGAAAAAAAGTTAAGTGGAAGTATTGAAATGACTAAAACTGAAATGAAAATAAAGCTAATTTTTAAATTATATTAAAAACTAATTAAAAAGAAAAAAGCACTTAATGAAAATGAAACCTAAAAATTAAAAAAAAAGTAAGATAATTCAAAATATTAATAAAATTAAAATGAATTTTAATTATTTGATTATTTGGTTTTACAACAATTCGATGAGAAATGGTAAGTTCATTTTAGGACTTTTGATTGTAGACTTTGGTGTCTTGGAAGATCTAAGCACAGTTTGAGACATTGAGAACTTTTCTGAAACTTTAAGTATATCCATTAGATGAGAAACTTTGATTACTGGAATCTTTTTGTAAGGAAAAAGATTTGAGAAGCAGTTGGCCAAAATTACACCTTCAGCCCATCCTGTGAGACTATATTTTGTTGGGAAATATTACACTGTGATGTCCACTGGTAAAGGGGCATTTGTAAGGACCCTTCTTTAAACTAAAATGACAAATGGGATCCCCAGTGGTCTTGTGGACTTTGCCGGTCCACTTGAAATGTGACAACTGGTACAGATATTTTCATTACATAATCTCAATTTACTCTTCATTTATTTTAATTGCTGTCCAAGAGATAACAAAATTTGAGATTTCATTTGTGGCTTTCTTTTAGAATAATCTTATCTATGTGTGTTACTGTTTCAGTGTTGCAGAGCAGTAGGGAATGGCTGTTCCTGGAGAGTGTGTGTGAGACAGAAGCAGCATTTATCTGGTCTAATGAATCTCAACTTGACTTATCTGCTGGTTTTTCACTCGCTCTACAATCAGAAGATGACTCAGTTGAAGGAGCCCTGTCAAATAGGCCACTCATAAACACTCAAGGCAGAGTGAGAGTTCAAGGACTCTCTCCTGGACACGTCTATCATTTCTCATTGGTTCTTACACGCCCCAGTGGGGCGTCTCAGACACTTGGACCCATTTTCATTGTCAATACAAGTAAGTTTTTCTACATCTACAGTACCAAGAAAAGTTTACCCAAAAAATAACTGGTTTGTTTGTTTGCTTAATGTTGCAGAGCCAAATCCTCCTCAGAATCTCACAATGACAGCTGTTACGTCCAGTCAGATTGCAGTGTATTGGACCGCCCCCGATTCTACCCAGAATGCTCTATTCAAGCAATACATCCTGCACTGGGTGGATCTATCCTCTGGCAGAAGCCATTCTATTCAGTTAGACAAGACAAATCAGAGTGCTGTGATTGCTGGGTTGAAGGCGTATCATGCTTACAAGATCACAGTTTTGTCTGTCACTGCTCAAGATGTGGAAAGCAATGACAGTATGTCCGTGACTGTCATCACAGGTAGGTTTTGCACACACAAAAAAAGATACTGAGGGGTGAATTCTTTTTTGTGTGCAGTATTTCCATCCAAAACTATGTCTTATCAACATGCCAACCACAGATCAACTTAACAAAAACACTATACACAAGATAGCACTGTGCAAATTTACCTATTGTGTGCAAATTAAGCTATTTGTGTGTGTGTCCTCCTAGGTAAGGGGATAGAATTTACAGTTTGTTCAGTATAAAAATCATTACATTATCAGCTAACTAGTAATGACTCAAGTGTTACTACATGATCTAGTCATGACTTGTGCAACCAAACATTAAAGTCATTTCAAGCGTTTGAGATTTTGGTGAACTTTAGTATACTTTTAGAACATTTCTTTAGAAGTATATAATAACACTTGAGTCATTACTAGTTAGCTCCCATGATCTTCACTTTATAATACGGATCCAAATAATTAGTAATTCCCAAAGAAGTATGTAGTAACACTTTCATCTGTGCTCTATTACTTACTAATTTGTTAATCAGAGGTTTTTTTAGTTAGTAGTTACTAGATTGCTAATAAACTTTTTCAGTAGTTCTCTGGGAAGTTAAAAAAATAGTAGTTATTGATTACTTAATAGTGAACTACCACTTTCGTCTGTGCGCTATTACTTACTAGTTCGTTAATCAGAGTTCCTCGTTAGTTAATAATAGTTACTAGATTTATCGGTTACTTATTGGTTCTTGTGTAGTTATTCCAACCCGATCTCACGACCAAGTCGTACGAATTCGACGAATGATTAAAAAGTGGCTAATTCGTAACAATTCATACGACCTCACTCGTACGAATTAATACGATTTTGCTAAATCGTACATATTTTACGAATTGGCCAATTCGTATGAATTCGTACGAATGACCTACCCCTTACCCCGCCCCTAAACCTAACCATCACGTGGGTTTAGACAAATCGTACGAATTAGTACGAGTGAGGTCTTTTTGATCTTTTTGACGCACTTTTTAATCATGCGTCGAATTCGTACGAATTGGTCGTGAGATAGTGTTGGTTATTCATTAACGAAGCAACCGTATTCTAAAGTGTTACCAAAAATTCTAATGTAAGGATTTAATAACACTGTCAAATATAATCTTTAACAGATCTCAAAGTGAATATCACAACATTATATTGTATACAATATATATATACAATTGCATTATTGCATTATATTGTAACATTATATAGATGTTTTGTGTGCTGATGTCTGTGTGTTTTAGAGGTTAGTCCTCCACGCAAGGTCTCAGTTGATGCTGTGGGTTTGGAGAACGTGACTGTGTGCTGGTGGCCTCCACCTGATGAGGAAGTTGATGAATATTACATCCGACTCCATCCACAAACAAATCAGGCCCAAACTAGAGAGTTCTGGGTAAATAGCTCCACCTGCGTCTCTCTTGCACAGCTCAAACCAGGTGGGACGTATGAAGTGGAAGTGGCTGCAGTGAAGGACAAAAACAAAAGCGCACCAATTACCATTCAAAAGACTCTGAGTATGATTTGTTTGTTTTTATCTTCCCTTTCCTTTATTTCCCTTATGCCTCTGTCTCAGTCTATAATATTTATTTGTATGCTTGTTTCAGAACCTGATAGCATCCAGATAGCTGTCCCATATGCAGTTGGCACACATTCTGTGGAGCTCTTTGTGCAGATGCCCAGAAACAGCATTTATGACGGCATCACCATTACTTACCAAAATAATCGAACCTGGATGCCAGTGTCCAAAGACAGCACCAAAGTGGTTGTCGGCAGCCTGAATCCAGGGACGCAGTATAACTTTTATGTGTTTGTGACCAGCAGAGACACAAGCAGTGACGGTTTTGCTTTACCACCTGTGAGCACCTGTGAGAAAACATTTGAGAAACTTTTACTCTTATTGCTCACATAAGTACTGTACTGGTCAAAAGTTTGGAATCATTCAGATTTTTTGAAAGACGTCCCTTATGCTCACCAAGGCTGCAATTGTTTGATCAAAAATGCAGCAAAATATGTTATCACAATTTAAAATAACATTTTTTTTATTTTAATATATTTGTTTTAAACGTAATTTATTCTTGTGACGGAAAAGCTGAATTTACAGAATCATTACTGACGGTCTGCAGCGTCACATGATCATTCAGAAATCATTCGAACACGCTGCTCAATACTAAGAAATGTTTCATGAGCGCCAAATCAGATTTTTTTTTTATTATTATTCAGAAAGGATCCATTAAATTGATCAAAAGTTACCATCTTCAGTGTCTCATGATCTTTCAGAAATCATTCATGATGATTTAGTACTCAAGAAACATTTCTCATAATAAGATGTCATTTTGATTAAATAAATGCATCTTTGGTAAGGATGAGACTACTTTCAAAAACATTTTAATGATTACAATTTTTTTTGACTAATAGTGAGTCGAAATATGAGTATACTGCTCCTTTTATGGCACTGTCATTTTATTATAATTTTTTCACAAATAATATGAAACCAAATGCTGTTACCAAAAAAAGTGCAAATAATCCTACATTGCTGTCACATCACCTTGCATTATTGTCTATGTAATGCAGAAAATAAAAACAGTTATTTTTCATTTTAGTACTATTGCACAATATGCATACTCCATGCTTCAGAAATGATAGGCGGAGTCTCTGAGACTTAATTTGAATGTGTGTTCATCTATTTACAGGTTTGGCTCCTCCCACCAATGTGCATGCTGGTGTTGTGACTGACAGTTCTATAGAGATCTTGTGGGACAGGGCTGAGGGGGACGGTCATCATTATGAGGCGCTGTGTATGAACTGCCCTGATTCTGTGTTTGTGAGTACACATCCTGTGTAAGTCTGTTTCTTCGAAGTGACAGATCAGGTTGAAATACCTTTTTGAGTGAATGATCTCATAGAGTGCGGCATTTGATGGATAAAAAAAACAACCGCTCATATTCAACAATCACCATCATCATTATGAAACTAAAGTGAAATTGTGCACAAAAGATTTTGAAGTAAATTTTTTATGCTGTCCTTAAATAATAGATGCTCAAACAAGGAGAAATAGTTTGTTTACTACTTTGTTGTGTGTGTCTTTTAGGTGCAGAAGGTAGTAGACCCTAGAGCAGTTTTTAAAGATGTGATAGCAGGAGAGCTGTGCAACTTTTTAGTTCGAACAGAGAAGGAATTTTTCATTGACAGTCCAGCAGTGATTATAGCCGTCAGAGCTGGTAAGCATACATTCACAAAGGCTTAAAAGTTCACTACCGTCCAAAAGTTCAAAAGTCAGTAAGAATTGTATTTTTTTTTTTTTTTTTAAATATAAAAGTCTCTCTATTCATCAAAAAAAAAAATCCTGAACAAACAGCACAACTGTTTTCAACATTGACAATAATCAGAAAGGTTTCTTGTGCAGTAAATCAGAATGATTTCTGAAGGATCATGTGACACTGAATGGAGTAATGATCACTGGAATAAATTACATTTTAAAATATATTACAAATGGAAAACAGTTTTAATATTGAGAAATCAAATCAAATAATATTTCACAATATTTCTGATTCACTTACGAGAGGCTCTCTCGTACTGCGAAAACCTCTTTTCCTCGAGATATTGAAGCCAAAACTTGCGGCAGCATGCAGACATATGCAAGGCGGCTCACGTGCCTAGTGGCTGTCCTGCGGCAACTGCGGCAGCCTTTCGAGATAGGCCTTTAGTGATGTTAGATCCAATGGGGGCGCTTCGCACCTACTACGTCATCTCCGGCCAAAGTGGGTGTGGCCTAGGCCTATAAATACATAGCTCGATGGGCTGATGTAGTGTGGTTCTTCATCTCTTTCATCTCTGCTCGCAAGTCATCAGGGATACGGGCCAGCATCGAATCCAAGCTGATACGTCTACTCTCACACTTGAGTGGGCGGCGCCCGCGCACAACCGATGGATGGATGTTTCTTGCAAACTCATGTCGATTGTGCATTAAATGTAGTGAATGTGCCCACAACCCAGTGCCCACAAACACACTGCATGTCCCACGGTTTCTGTAAAAACAAAACGAACATACATACAGTCAGCTCAGGCTGGAGTAAATGTGCCCGCTGTCCCGCACCCATATTCTCTCACACACATGTCAAGCCCCAGAATTCATGCTATTCTAGTTATTCATGCAAATGTGTGGGCAAATCTTCCCGGGGTATTAGAATGGGTGAACATTATAATAAGAGGCTATTCACTGCAGTTCGCGCAACGTTCCCGCTGTTACATGGCGCGGGTCGAAACTACGGTAAAAACTGAATTAGCCCATCTACTTTGAGCCGAAATAGTGAAACTATTGAGACAATACACAGTCCTACCATTCGGCCTGTCCCTAGTACCCCGTACATTTACAATGTGCATGGACGTGGCTGTCGCACCCCTGAAACTTCGGGGCATGCGAGTTTTGAACTACTTGGACGATTGGCTGATTCTAGCTCAATCACACTCAGAGCTCATAGAACACAGGACCATATTACTCGAACATCTTGAGAATCTAGGCTATCTCAGAGCCAATGGGTTGAAAAGTTCGCTGTCTCCCAGTCAGAGAATATCTTTTCGGGGCACAGAACTGAACTCGCTGTCTATGACAGTGCGACATTGCTAGAGCTGAAACTGAAAATTCAACGCATCACGAAATCCTTTCGCTGCGGCACTATAGTCCTGCTCAAAAGGTTTCAGAAAATGCTGGTCTCATAGCTTCAGCATCATCAGTACTCCAGTTGGGTCTGCTTCACATGAGCCCACTGCATTTAAGGCTAAAAGTGCGAGTACCACCACGGGCATGGGCCTCTGGTCTGTTTCACCTCAAGGTCAATCAGATATGCGTCACAGCTCTGAAACCTTGGAGAGCAATCGACTGGTACCAACCAGGTGTAAACCTGGGAACTTCCTCGAGTGTAAAAGTGGTGTCCACTGCTCGAGGGCAGACTGTTCTTTGGCCAGTGGTCAGAACGGGAAAAGCTCCTACACATAAACTGTCTAGAAATGATGGCAGTCGACAACGTGCTGAGGCGTTTTTGTCCCCGAATAATTTGTCACCACGTCTTGGTCCACTTGGACAGCATGCCAGTGGTGGCCTATATAAATTGTCAGGGTGGCATCAGGTCCCGAAACCTTTACAGGCTGATGGAACACCTCCTGGTCTGGGCTCAGCACAATTTGCGCTCATTGAGAGCCTGAATTTAGGACCGGACAGACTGTCCAGAAACAATGTTCCAGCAGGAGAATGGTCTCTGCACCCGGTCCTACTGCTGTGGGAGACATTCGGCAGACCGCAGGTAGACCGCAGATAGACCGAATCAGGGAAAACAGATGCTCAGTTCTACTTGTGGCTCCGCTCTGGAAAAACCAGACTTGGTTCCCAGTTCTGTTGCAACTGACAAGCACTGCCCCATGGCCAATACCGACAAGGAAAAACCTCCTTTCTCAGGCCAAGGGCTTGATTTGGGTCCTCGCCCGTAGCTGTGGTCCCTGCACGCATGGGCCATCAACTGGTATCCACAACCACCTGGAGGGAGTGTTAAACATGATCATGCAGGCTAGAACATTGTTTATTAGATGACTCTATTCCTCAAAATGGTCTGTGTTTTCTGACTGGTGTAAAGCCTGAGGCTTTTCACCCATCGGCTGCGGGGTTACGGAAGTTCTCTCCTTCCTTCAAGAGCTACTGGATAAGGGTAGAACCCCATCCACGCTCAAAGTTTATGTGGCAGCCATAGCAGTATTTACAAAACCTGCGACTGGATAATCACTGGGGAAGAACGATCTGGTCATCTGCTTCCTTAAAGGAGCTAAGAGGCTGAATCCTCCCAGACCCCCCCTCAGTTCACATGTGGGACCTTTCCAAGGTTTCCGGAAGCCATGAAAGGTGCCCCGCTCGAGCCAATCCATTTGTCGGACATGAAACATCTGTCATTCAAGACAGTGTTTCTTATGGCTCTTGTTAGTTTAGGGCATAGGGGATTTACAAGCGCTCTCAGCAAGCGCAATGTGTATGGAATTTGGCCCAAATGACTTGAAAGTCATACTCAAACCAAGACAAAACCAAGATAAGTGCCTAAATCCCTCAACACTCCGTTCCTTTGCTCAGTCAGGAAATTGAGAGACTCGCTCACCTGTTTTCAGACAGACTGAGCAGCTCTTTGTTTCTTTCAGCGGAAGTGCTAAGGGACTAGCCCCATCGAAACAGAGCCTATACAGATGGATAGTTGATGCCATAGCTCTGGCTTACACGTCTAAAGGCTTGAAGTGTTCTTTAGGTGTTAGAGTGCACTCCACAAGAGGCATTGCCTCATCGTGGGCTTGGTCTAGCGGGATTCCCTTGCAGGATATCTGTATGGCGGAAGGTTGGGCCTCCCTGTCTACATGTATAAGGTTTTATAACCTAGAGGTTCCCGCCTTATAGGCTAAACTACTTTCGGTCCAAAATCAGTTGTTTCGGCTCAGATTACTACTACCGCTTGAGCACCACTTGCTGATCAATTAAAATTACTCTATGGGCAAAAGTAAGACCCATACTGTTACCCAGTTGAGGCCGAACACTTTCACCCTGGCTGTGTGGAATAATACTGTACGTACAACTGCTCCCCCATGCCTGTTGACCAACTTGAATTACATTTTTAAAGAGCAATTTCTAGAAAAATGTAATTATAAGTACTTTTGTCTGGAAATCACAATTTTTTTTCAGCAATCCTGTGATATTTCCAGGAGTTTTATGAACCCTGCTTGATCACTTTACTTGCCCTATGTCTATTTGTAGCTCCCAGTTCGGTCACCTTGTTGCCTGTGCAGAGGACATCAGCATCTCTCAGTGTGCTCTGGGGGACAGGCCAGGGGGTCTGTGACTCATTCATCCTGTCCATCAGAAACTCAACCTTTATCCTGCAGACCAATCAGAGTGCGTCTGATGACAGGTTCGGATTTAGATCAGTTATCTGCTCTGAAGATTCGTTCTTTATGTGAGAGAGACTGCAGCTTCCTCTCTTTTTTAGAACATTTCGCTTTGACAACCTGTTGCCTGGAAGTGTGTATACTGTCGAAGTGAGCAGTGTTAGTGGAGACAGGCGAAGTTTACCTGCTTCTGCAATTGCTAACACACGTGAGTGTTACTACACTTATACATTGGTACAAAACTTAGCAAGAACTTATCGTGTACTCTCTCACACCAGTCCACAAATAAGCTCTGTTCCAAAATGTAGTGCCTTGCTGTACTGCCTACATAGACAGCTGCTTTCTAAGGTAGCATGCTGAAACGGAACCTCATGACTCATTCGAAAACACTTCACTTAGGTAGCAACTTCATTCGCATTTACTTACAAATGGCCAACAAAAAGTGCTCTTCATGTGAAGCCAATTCAATAGAGTTTGATGTTTGTGTGCCACCAAGTAAAAGCGATACTCCACTTAACAAAAAATACATACCCTTTATTAGGATTAAATCTGTTGATCAGTAGTTTTAAGTATCAAGAGTAATATTTACAGTACCGTTGTTTAGATTTTATGATGCTTTTGAAAGGAGTCTCTTCTGCTCACCAAGGCTGCATTTATTTTGCCAAAAATACAGTAAAACAGTAGCCTGACTTCGTCATCATATTCAATTGAGAATATGAGTCTGAGACCACTCCGTTGGCCTTTGATTATGAGGCGCGTCTTAAACGAACCAGGAAAAAAAAACCCTCTGCACTCAATTGGATAGTCGGACAGACCTACAACCAATCAGAGCAACGCAGTAAGTCAAATACTTTGCATAGCATAGTTGTCAACAACAGAACTTACTTATTTTAGAAGTAAAATAATGAGTGTTGCTTCTTTCACTTGGTCCTTCATGAGTGCGAAAAAAGGAGAAACCACAACGACCACATGCTTTTCATTACGTCCCATCTTCTTAACTTAGCCACCGTCAGAGCCAGCTGATAAGTTACACTTTTGCCGAATATCTTTCCGATCGACAAATGCCTTGATTACAGTTTTCTGTTTGTCTATTAAGATGAATGCGCTGTCGATTAATTTTAAAAACAGACGCGACAGCAGAATCTATACAGTATATCTCAATTCTCCAGCTGCAGTCATCTCTGAGGGAAACCAGTTAGCGCTCTTTGATAACGTGATGATTACGTCCCTGCAGATCATCTGTCCATCATCGTATAAAGCCCACCCTGGCAATCTGATTGGCCCGATCATTTTTTGCCTGATCATAATTACTCCTCAATGGATCGAGTCCAGACCGAACTTCCCTACCAAAAAATGTTGTGGGCGGAGTTCAGGCTAGTAAAACAGTAATATTCTAAAATATTATTGCGGATTTGCTACTCAAGAAACATTTCTCTGCTTCTGTTCTCAGAATTGTGAGATATAAAGTCCAATTCTGAAAAAATGTCAGCCTTGGTTTTCCTCAGAATTGGACTTAATAATTCTTATAAGTCGGAATTGCGAGTCGGGGTGATACGATCAGAATTGTGAGAAAAAGTCGCAATTATCTTTTAAATTGTTTTATTCAGTGGCGGAAACAAGCTTCCATAGCATTGCACATACTGTATCTTTCACAGAAAAGCCAATCCCAGAACGCACTTCAATAAACTCCAAGATGGCAGGTGAGAAAAATAGATTTATTTATTTTTTTACAGAAAATATAATTATTTCAGCAAGGACACATTAAATTTATCGAAAGTGACAGTAAAGACATTTAGAATGAATAAATATTTTTTTATTTCAATTAAAAGCTCTGTTGAACTTTCTATTCATCAAAGAATCCTGAAAAATATATTAATATAAAGAATCATGAAGAAATATTAAGCAGCACAATGTTTTAGATAATAATAAGAAATGTTTCTTGAGTAGGAAATCAGAAATAATAATTTACTACCAGTATATTGATATTTTTACTGTATTTTTGGTCAAATAAATGCAGCATTGATGAGTGGAAGATAATTATTTCAAAAGCATCAAAAATTCTGAACAACCTCAAACTTTTGAACTTTAGTGTAAATATTACTCAATAAAAATTTTCAGAATTGTGAGATAAAAAGACGCAATACTTGATACTTGACGACATTACTTACAGTGTCAAATGCAAAATTTAGTTAAAATTATGCTGCCTGATTTTAACAATTCCAAAAACTGTTCCTATGATGCCTTAAGCACCTGTGAAGTCGTTAATCCCATCTACAGTAGGCAGGCAGCTCACTAGGGTTTGGAAACAGAGCTGTAAACTCTCATATCAGATGCTTTCAAAAATATATATTTTTCTCAGTTCCAGAACCTCCTGATGACCTCACTTGCATTGAACAGGAAGTGAGCAGCATGTACGTGATATGGAAACACCCACCAGGCAGAGTGGATGGTTACAGGGTAGGGTGACTTTTTGATCATCCAATCAGTATCGAGATCTGTATAATGTAATTTGATAATTGTATAGTGTATTTTCACATTTGGGATTTCTTTGATTGTTTTGATAGAATGAATGGGTCAGAAGGTTCAAGAGGTTATGTAGAATGACTTATTATACTTTTTTTAAATTGTAACCATGACTAGACTAGTTTTGGAGCCTTTGCACACCTGTTAAAACTTTCATACCGACCGTCTCAGCTGAAATGTAGCCTAGCAACACCCTGTAGTCTTGTGTGCTCAGGTTTCTGCCTTTCTCATAATACATGAGTGCCAATCCTTCATTTTACCTTACAAAGAGGGGGAAGGTGTTTGAGTGTATGATGTAAAAATTCAATTTTGCAAATTTGAGATGATGTTTTTCATCTAGTGTAAAGTCCCTTTGGAAAAACCTGGGCTAAAGAGACTCCTACGGTTAATGAGCTCCTCACTTCTATGGTCACCCCTATTCTAGATTGGCCGTGCCAGCATCTCCGATCTTTGACTGGGCCAGGAACATAATTTTTATGTACATTACTATTCAAATGTTTGACTCCTGGTTTCACAGACCAGGCTTAAGCCCAGTCCCAGGCTAAAATCCATGTTTGAGCTGTTTTTTTGTTGTTGTTGTTTTTTAGTGAAAGCAACGTGCACTGTTATAATAAGTATCATTGTTTTGTCTCAAGATGCAGATATTTTGCTAAAATGTCACAATTGAACAAATCCTGTCTTAATCTAAGAAGCCATGTCTGTGAGGCCTGGGGATAGGTTTTTTTTTTTTTTTTATAATTGTTTTTTTGAGAAAGTCTCTCCGCCTGCTCACCAATGCTCCATTTATTTGTTCAAAAATAAAGCAAAAATATTGTTATTCCTGTGATTCAAAGCTGAATTGCATAAGGAAAGTTACTGGGTTACTGGTCTTCAGTGTCATGTGATCCTTCAGGAATTTCATTCTGATATGCTGATTTGCTGCTCAAGAAACATCATTATCATTTTTGAACTGCTTAATATTTTTGTAGAAATTGTGATACATTTTTTCCCACGAATATTTAACATTATAACATTATACGTCTTTACTTTCACAAGTGATCAATATAATGTATCCTTGCTACTGTAAATAGAAGTTTCAATTTCTTTCAACAACAACAAAAAAATGTAAACAGATCCCAAGCTTTTGAATGATAGTGTTTAAAGTTTATGCCTATACTTATTTTATTTCTGTTGCTTGCTCTCTTTACATTTGTTCCATTTGTTAGTTGCGATATGGCCTCGCGGGTGACCGTCCTCTGCAACACCAGATTGATCTCCATGGAAACAGTGTCAGTATTCATGACCTGACCCCAGGAAGTGATTACAGGTTTGAGATCCAGTCCTTCCTGGGGTCAGATTTCAGCCAGACCACATTCAAAAACATCTCTACTAGTAAGAATTTCCCAGAGATACTTTCTACTTTTGGTGTCATTACTATTATAGATATGAAAAAAAAATACAATACATAAACGCATATTAATAAAAAAGGTAATTCTAAGCACTGATTTTTATTTTATTTTTATTCCAGGGCCAGCAGGTGTGTGTTCACTCTCTGTGTCTCACGTCAACATCACATCAGCCACAGTGGCATGGGCACCAGCTGCTGGCTATTTTGATTTTTATAAAGTGACCATCAGTAATGGCTCTCAAATCTGGACGTTAGACGTGAGTCCACACTTGCAGGAGGTCACCGTCAATGGCCTGTGGAGCGGCTGCTCCTATAACACCACTGTACAACGCTTCAGAAACACCATCGGTGGAACCGCTGCCACCATCACTATACACACAGGTTAGACTGTTTCCCAAAATGCACTTGGCATAATGAAAGGAACTAATTCCTCTAAAACTGTTTTAGAACAGTTTGTATTGTCAAATGAAGCATCAATTGAACCAAGCTTAATCAGTTTTAATTGAACAAAACTGATTCACCCTGCATTGAGTTGCAATAGAAACTTGCATTGAACAGATCCAACATAATTTAAGGGAACCGAACTGCATTGAAACAAACTGAACCTTAACCGTAAATTATATTACATTTCAATAAATTCAACTGAACTTAATTGAAATGAATTAATAATTTTGATTAAAAACAGTTATGTTTGGCTTGGTTCAACAGCCTTGAATTTAACTGAACCGATCTGAACTGAATCAAATTGAATTGAACCAAACTAAAATGAATCAAACTGAACAATTTATCAACATCACTATCATTAATTTCTAATATTTTTTTCTTTATTCTAAACTATTTTAGTGAGTGAGTGAGTGAGTGAGTGAGTGAGTGAGTGAGTGAGTGGGTGGGTGGGTGGTTGAATTGGCGAGTAAGTCGGTGGGTGAGTGAGTGGGTGGGTGAGTAAGCGGGATGAGTGAGTGAGTGAGTGGGTGGGTGGATGGATGGGTGAGTGAGTAAGTGGGGTGAGTAAGTGAAAGTGAGTGAGTGGGTGGGTGAGTAAGTGAGTGAGTGGGTGGGTGAGTGAGTAAGTGGGTGAGTGAGTGAATGAGTGAGTGGGTGGGTGGATGGTTGAGTGAGTGAGTGGGTGGGTGGATGGTTGAGTGAGTGAGTGGGTGGGTGGATGGATGAGTGAGTAAGTGGGGTGAGTAAGTGAAAGTGAGTGGGTGGGTGGGTGGATGGGTGAGTGAGTAAGTAGGGTGAGTAAGTGAAAGTGAGTGAGTGGGTGGGTGAGTAAGTGAGTGAGTTGGTGGGTGAGTGAGTAAGTGGGTGAGTGAGTGAATGAGTGGGTGGATGGTTGAGTGAGTGAGTGGGTGGGTGGATGGATGAGTGAGTAAGTGGGGTGAGTAAGTGAAAGTGAGTGGGTGAGTGAGTGGGTGAGTGAGTGGGTGGATGGGTGGGTGGGTGAGTAAGTGGGTGAGTGAGTGAGTTGGTGAGTGGGGTGAGTAAGTGGGGTGAGGGAGTGGGTGGGTGGGTGTATGGGTGGGTGAGTGAGTAAGCGGGGTGGGTGAGTGAGTGAGTGAGTGGGTGGGTGTTGAGTAAAGTGGGGTGTGTAAGTGAGTGGGTGAGTGAGTGAGTAAGTGGGGTGAGTAAGTGGGGTGTAGTGAGTGGGTGGGTGGGTGGGTGGGTGAGTGAGTGAGTGGGTGGGTGGATGGTTGAGTGAGTGAGTGGGTGGGTGGATGGATGAGTGAGTAAGTGGGTGAGTAAGTGAAAGTGAGTGGGTGGGTGGGTGGATGGGTGAGTGAGTAAGTAGGGTGAGTAAGTGAAAGTGAGTGAGTGGGTGGGTGAGTAAGTGAGTGAGTGGTGGGTGAGTGAGTAAGTGGGTGAGTGAGTGAATGAGTGGGTGGATGGTTGAGTGAGTGAGTGGGTGGGTGGATGGATGAGTGAGTAAGTGGGGTGAGTAAGTGAAAGTGAGTGGGTGAGTGAGTGGGTGAGTGAGTGGGTGGATGGTGGGTGGGTGAGTAAGTGGGGTGAGTGAGTGAGTTTGGTGAGTGGGTGAGTAAGTGGGGTGAGGGAGTGGGTGGGTGGGTGTATGGGTGGGTGAGTGAGTAAGCGGGGTGAGTGAGTGAGTGGGTGAGTGGGTAAGCGGGGTGAGTGAGTGGGGTGAGTGAAGTGGGTGGGAGGATGGGTGGTGGGTGAGTAAGTGGGGTGAGTAAGTGAGTGGGTGGGTGAGTGAGTAAGTGGGGTGAGTGGGTGGGTGAGTGAGTAAGTGGGTGTGTAAGTGAGTGGTTGGGTGAGTGAGTGAGTAAGTGGAGTGAGTAAGTGGAGTGAGTAAGTGGGTGAGTGAGTGGGGTGAGTGAGTAAGTGGGTGTGTAAGTGAGTGGGTGGGTGAGTGAGTAAGTGGGTGTGTAAGTGAGTGGTTGGGTGAGTGAGTGAGTAAGTGGAGTGAGTAAGTGGGTGAGTGAGTGAGTGAGTGGGGTGAGTGAGTAAGTGGGGTGTGTAAGTGAGTGGGTGGGTGAGTGAGTAGTGGGGTGAGTGAGTGAGTGGGTGGGTGAGTAAGTGAGTAAGTGGAGTGAGTGAGTAAGTGAGTGGGTGGGTGAGTGAGTAAGTGGGGTGAGTGAGTGAGTGAGTGAGTGGGTGGATGGGAAATTGGCGAGTGAGTAAGTGGGGTGAGTGAGTGAGTGAGTGGGTAAGTGGGGTGAGTAAGTGAAAGTGAGTGGGTGGGTGAGTGAATATGGGTGGGTGAGTGAATAAGTGGGTGAGTGAGTGGGTGGGTGAGTGAGTAAGTGGGTGAGTAAGTGGGGTGAGTGAGTGAGTGGGTGGGTGAGTGAGTAAGTGGGTGAGTAAGTGGGGTGAGTGAGTGAGTGGGTGGGTGGATGGGTAAATTGGCGAGTGAGTCGGTGGGTGAGTGAACGTTAATCTAACCAAACCTTATTAAAATGAATGAAATTTAATTTAACCTTAATTAAACGAAAGTGAGCTGAATTTAGTTTTTTAGCATTTGTCTGTCTGTAAAATATATACTTGCATTTTTTTTTAAATCTGTGCGTTTCAGTGCCTGCCAGTCCTGAAGGGTTGCGTGTGATCAGTGTGTCACCTCGTGCTTTCTCTCTCCACTGGCTTGCATCACCTGGATGTGATAAGAACTACCTGATCCAAGTGCTTCCTGACCATGGCAATATTACCATCACCACAAAAACAGACAGCTACGTCCAGGTACACACTACCCCCCCACACACACACCCTGAGTCACTCACAGTCCTCTCCCACAGCCGTATGCCAGGTGTCAGGTAGAAGAGTATCCGTGTCAGCTGGGCGGAGTGTGTGGAGGAAGGTTGGAGAACAAGGGAGAGAGTGAAAGAGAGAGAAGACCGTTATTAACAGGTTTAGCATTGGTAGTGGGACTAGTTTGTTTCTGATCACTCGCATACCAGTGGTTAGTTACCCATTCAGCAGCTCTCTCTTAGTGAGGGGCCATCATGCCATCCTGTCTGCCCCTGCTGGTTATCCTGTACTCGGGTCTCGGTAACGTTCAGGTAGGCATCAATTGCATATTTGCATTGCATGGGTTTTGCATTACATGACATGCATTAAATACTCAAGATAGAAGAGTTGGATGCCATTCAGGAGTATATTGAGAATTATTTATTTGCTGTAATTTGGATTCAAATTCCAATTGAACATCTTTTGTTCAAATCATCAAATGAAAATAAAATTCCATCGCAGGAACTTAAAGAGAAAACATTTAGCAACATTTTGAATCCCTGCAAAATAGATTTGTTCTCCTAACACACACACACACTTTGGTCTGTTTGAGAGTGATGGTGAGACGCTACACGACCTTTGGAGGAATTCTTAAACTGGCTTGTGTTTCTTAGAATTAAGAAACACAGCAATTCTGCCACACAAAGACTTGAGTGTGTGATAAATATCACTGAACACTGACTCGTCTTCCTTGTGCGGGACTGTATATTTGTAAAGGGTTTCTATTTGACATTTTATGCATTCATTTGTGGAGCGTTCATAATTGAACATCATAATGACATTTCTAAAAGTTGCCATCAACAATTTAAAAGTTTAGCTTATACACCATCATTTATATTTTCTTTACTATTTATATTTTTCCCTGTGTAAACTTGAAAGTAACTTCCTTTAAAGTTTTATTAGTTATTTAAATTGCAAAATGGCTCAGAAAAGTGAAATTAGTTCTAAGAAAAGCTCTTGCAACATTTCTAAGCAAATATATTGATAGATATTTTATTTATTTACAGTGAAATTCATAGAAGTGTGGTGTGTATATACAAAGTATATATATATATATATATATATATATACTGTATCACACACACACGTTATGTAACGCATAATTATTAATTTGATTTTACCATGTTATCTTGTTTTACTGGTGTTGTCAAGCTATTTTATCCTCACATCTGATAAGACTATTGTCTTTCTGGAACAAGTGGTGTGACATCATGTATGGTAACTTAGCCTGCCACTGTTACATTACTCAACAAACTTACTCGCAAACTGTGTTTGCGACAGAAGACAACAAGAGATGCTTTTTTATATATGATTTATATCAACAAATTATTTCTGGTTAAATTATTGCTGGTAATGGCTCAAGAAGATTAGCTTGCAAAGAGTGTGTTTGTTTGTCTGTTGGTGGGAGTGTCTGAGGTGCATGGATTATTGATGGTATCTATAGATGTACAAAATTACTTGTGTTTTTGAGGGTGGTTTGATGCATGATGGTGTTTTGGAGTAATAATGCGATGTGTTTGATTTATGTAAGTCATTGTCTTCAGTCAGGCATAGCCATCGCTATTAAAATCACATTCATATACAGTATCTGATCGCATTCAAATTGTGAGTTGTTTAGGATCTATTGCTGACTTTTTGGTTTTACTTGGGTTATGCTTCAGTTTTTCAAAAGAGACATGTCTCAGCAATATGTTATGAGACATTACTATGCTTTATGCACTATAAATGAGCCTTTACTGACTATATTATTTGAAAAATTGTATATCATTCAGTAATGTAAAATGCAATAATCAAAATAAGCACAACATTTATTTGTCTACTAAAAAGATTTTTTACAATGCTGAAATTTTAGGTGCAAAACACTAACAAAATAGATAACTAGAAGACATAAGATGTTACCATTATAAAGGTCACTCTCAAAAACGGTTGACTTTTTTGCTTATAAAATGCTGAGTAGTTTAATTTCATAACATAAAAGCTTATGATATATATTAAAGTCTACTTAGTAATCATGTCAAAATTTTATGTTCTTTGTTATTTTAGTCTTGATTTTTTTCCACACCTATCATTTCCCTCTGATTTTAGGTAGAAGTTATGGGTAGGGTTACGTTTTGGGGTAGGGATTGGTGGACTGTATGTACATTATTTCTGATGATTAATTTTACCCCTAATTTTATGGTTAACCGCAGCTGCAGTCTCAAAATAAAAAAATACAAAAATACATGTATTTTTTTTATCTCAGTTCCTCAACTACCCTCTGAGAGTTTTTAAATTTACATTTATGCATTTGGCAGATACCTTAATCCAAAGGAATACACATTGCGTTAAATGCATACATTTTTATAAGTTCAAGAATGTAAATATTGCTGGTAATCGAACGCATGATTTTTGCGTTGCTAGCACCATGCTGTACTGTTTGAGCTTTAGGAACGCACACAAAAATGAAACCAAAACCATTAAAAACAATTAAACAAATGATTAAAAATAGTTGTTAAACACGGTTTTAAAAATAATTTGTTATTTATTTTTGATATAATGTGTGAGAATGTGTGTGATTGTGATTGTATTGAATCCAATTAGTGTCAATTTGACCTGCAACATAAAAATTGGACACAGAATTTGAAACACACCGTAATACAAGGGAACACTAAGCATCTTTTATATTATCCAATATAACATTTTATAGAATTCTGTCTTTTAAATGTTGGATTTTATTTATTTATTTATTTATTTTCAAAAATCATATCTGTTACCAAATTTGAGAATGACCCATATGTTCATTGTAGACGTAGTCTATGTTTGTCCTGTATACAGTATGTATTGTGTCTATTCTGTGTTTTAGGCTCAAGTGTCCAGTGTAACCCCTGGAACATCATACACCATCACGGTCAATGCAGTGGCTTCGTCAGGGTTCAGCTCACCTGTCAGCCGAATACTTGTCACCACTATTGAGTCATGTAAGTCTGTGTATTCCTTTCCTAAACCACTATCTTTTTTCAATAAAAATGATGCCTTCCTTTTGTTATTTATGTTTATTTCCCCATAGTTATATATTTTCCTCTAGACTACCTCCTGTTTTTGTTTTTAAGTTTCACTTTATCAAAATTCTAAATGTCAAACAAATGTTGTAAATAATAATGCCACACTAACACAAATTCTCTAAATTACCACAAATAAAATAATGTAATATGTAATAATGTAATGTACATGAATCCATATGGACTTTTTTTCCATTTGAAGTATGTGTGTACATTTATGTTTGCATAATTGATGCTGATTCCAGGCTTTGACGGGTTGGTATCATATTCCCGGGTCGCTGGTTTGCTCATCCATACGAGAATGGCATTGGCGGGTCACGCTTTCTGATAGCTTTATATTGTCATTCTCCTAAATGGCTGACACCTCCACAACAACAGATAGCTGTTAGCAAGCCAAGCACCTTCTAAAAGACCTCTGCATTTGATAATGACCTGGACGATATTATATCTAGGTCAGAGTAACAACATCCGTCCTGCTTCATTGCAGAAGATGAGGATATAATGGCAACACAAATGAAAGAAGTGACAATCACTTAAAAAAACGACATGGAAAAAAATGCTGTAATCAACCAATTCGAATCAAGTAATCAATAAAGCTGTCATAAAAATAGGATAAAATATCAAACGCATCATAAGATTCTCAATTTTTTTGTGTGTTTATATGTATGTGTATGTAGTACCTGCGGCCCCCTCTAAGCCAGAAGGTGAGCGGGTTGGTTCCAATGGAATCCTGCTGTCCTGGCGGATGCCGATGCCCCTTGACCCCACAATTCACTCATTTGTCATCAAATACAAGGAGATGTGTCCATATCCCGACCCTACCTTCACTGAGGTCATCAAGGGTCTGGACGTCCCAGAAACTCTTCTGAACACACTCACCCCTGGAGCAACCTACAACATCAAGGTGCACGCTTGATCTTCACACATTTCAATAGTTTATGTGAAAGCAAAAAATTCACAAAGTCTAATTTAACCATGGCATATATTTTCACATTAGAATGTACACAACACAATAATACAAAATGCACTTTTTTTTTTTTTTTTTGTTGGAACTGTTAAAAGGAACTAAATTGAACTAACAAATGACTCAGACTTGAAGGAAATACCAGTTCTCGACCCAGCCACAAATGTATCGTTCAGAAAAACTATAAAATTAAAGTGTCAAAAATAATAGTTCGTGGTTAAAGCTCACGAAGTACCAGCACACTCCAGTGGATAGTTTCTAAATGTCACAAAAATACATCCTCAAAATTACCTGGCAAGACTTCCTTAATGAAATTTCTTGTCATTTGTTCTCTCATTTGGCCAATGTTTCACCAGTTTTCCATCATCTTTTGCATGTTTGAACCCTTTCAGCAGAGACTGTATGATTTTTGAGGTCCATCGTTTCACACTGAGGACAATTGAGGGACTCAAACACAACTATTAAAAAAGGTTCAAATATTTACTGATGCTCCAGAAGGAATCGTGATCCAGTAAGAGCTGGGGGGTGAAAACTTTTGAACGGCATGAAGATGTCCCTATTTTTCTTTTGTTTAAATATCTATAAAAAAAAATTAAAAAGGTTTCAACCCTCACCTCTTAATGCATTGTGTTTCCTTCTTTTATTTTTATAAATTCATTAAAAAAAAATCTTGTGGACTTTGTAAACATCTTTACTACATATCTTAAAGGTGCTTTAAGCGATGTCTCGCGTGATGTTTTAGGCCAAAACATTTTTTGTCACATACAGCAAACATCTCCTCACTATCCGCTAGCTGCCTGTCCCCTAAACACACTGTAAAAAGTCTCTGTCGCTGTCTCTGTAGACAACCCAAGCTCCACAAACGGCAACTAAAACAAACTGCGCAACCTGCTCTATGAAACATAACAAACTGTTCCAGCCAACAACTGACAATAATTGTTTGGGGGGGGGATAGTGCTCGCCGTGAACACATGAAGGGGGGTGTGGAGGAGAGAGTAGCATGAAGAGGGAAGTTAGATTATAACTCTTTATGTTTGATATGACTGACACACGACCAAAGAGACGACGTTCCGATAAATGCAAAAATGCAAAGAAGAGGGAAAGGATAAGGAACGCGCAAAGTCCCGAATTTACTTTGAAAAAGCCTTTGAAAGTTGGCGAGCACTCAGTAGCACCTCATTGCAGTACACGAGGTCCAGGGGACGGAGTCGGATCCAGATCTAAGGGGTGGAGATGGGTAGGATTAGAGATGGGGTTAGGGATCAGGTGGTGGAGATGGGTAGGTTTAGGGGTGGGTTTAGGGATCAGGGAAAGAGATGGGTTGGTTTAGGGGTGGGGTTAGGCATCAGGGGGCGGAGATTGTAGGTTTAGGGGTGGGTTTAGGGATCAGGGAAAGAGATGGGTAGGATTAGAGGTGGGGTTAGGCATCAGGGGGCGGAGATGGTAGGTTTAGGGGTGGGGTTAGGTATCAGGGGGTGGAGATGGGTAGGTTTAGGGGTGGGTTTAGAGATCAGGGAAAGAGATGGGTAGGTTTAGAGGTGGGGTTAGGGATCAGGGGTGGAGATGTGTAGGTTTAGGGGTGGGTTTAGGGATCAGGGAAAGAGATGGGTAGGTTTAGGGGTGGGGTTAGGCATCAGGGGTGGAGATGTGTAGGTTTAGGGGTGGGTTTAGGGATCAGGGAAAGAGATGGGTAGGTTTAGGGGTGGGGTTAGGCATCAGGGGCGGAGATGGTAGGTTTTGGGGTGGGGTTAGATATCAGGGGTTGGAGATGGGTAGGTTTAGGGGTGGGTTTAGAGATCAGGGAAAGAGATGAGTAGGTTCAAGGGTGGGGTTAGGCATCAGGGGGCGGAGATGGGTAGGTTTAGGGATCAGGGAAAGAGATGGGTAGGTTTAGGGGTGGGTTAGGCATCAGGGGCGGAGATGGTAGGTTTTGGGGTGGGGTTAGATATCAGGGGTTGGAGATGGGTAGGTTTAGGGGTGGGTTTAGGGATCAGGGAAAGAGATGGGTTGGTTTAGGGGTGGGGTTAGGCATCAGGGGGCGGAGATTGTAGGTTTAGGGGTGGGTTTAGGGATCAGGGAAAGAGATGGGTAGGATTAGAGGTGGGGTTAGGCATCAGGGGGCGGAGATGGTAGGTTTAGGGGTGGGGTTAGGTATCAGGGGGTGGAGATGGGTAGGTTTAGGGGTGGGTTTAGAGATCAGGGAAAGAGATGGGTAGGTTTAGAGGTGGGGTTAGGGATCAGGGGTGAGATGTGTAGGTTTAGGGGTGGGTTTAGGGATCAGGGAAAGAGATGGGTAGGTTTAGGGGTGGGGTTAGGCATCAGGGGTGGAAATGTGTAGGTTTAGGGGTGGGTTTAGGGATCAGGGAAAGAGATGGGTAGGTTTAGGGGTGGGGTTAGGCATCAGGGGCGGAGATGGTAGGTTTGGGGTGGGGTTAGATATCAGGGGTTGGAGATGGGTAGGTTTAGGGGTGGGTTTAGAGATCAGGGAAAGAGATGAGTAGGTTCAAGGGTGGGGTTAGGCATCAGGGGGCGGAGATGGGTAGGTTTAGGGATCAGGGAAAGAGATGGGTAGGTTTAGGGGTGGGGTTAGGCATCAGGGGCGGAGATGGTAGGTTTTGGGGTGGGGTTAGATATCAGGGGTTGGAGATGGGTAGGTTTAGGGGTGGGTTTAGAGATCAGGGAAAGAGATGAGTAGGTTCAAGGGTGGGGTTAGGCATCAGGGGGCGGAGATGGTAGGTTTAGGGATCAGGGAAAGAGATGGGTAGGTTTAGGGGTGGGGTTAGGCATCAGGGGCGGAGATGGTAGGTTTTGGGGTGGGGTTAAATATCAGGGGTTGGAGATGGGTAGGTTTAGGGGTGGGTTCAGAGATCAGGGAAAGAGATGAGTAGGTTCAAGGTGGGGTTAGGCATCAGGGGGCGGAGATGGTAGGTTTTTGGGTGGGGTTAGGTATCAGGGGGTGGAGATGGGTAGGTTTAGGGGTGGGTTTAGGGATCAGGGAAAGAGATGGGTTGGTTTAGGGGTGGGGTTAGGCATCAGGGGGCGGAGATTGTAGGTTTAGGGGTGGGTTTAGGGATCAGGGAAAGAGATGGTAGGATTAGAGGTGGGGTTAGGCATCAGGGGGCGGAGATGGTAGGTTTAGGGGTGGGGTTAGGTATCAGGGGGTGGAGATGGGTAGGTTTAGGGGTGGGTTTAGAGATCAGGGAAAGAGATGGGTAGGTTTAGAGGTGGGGCTAGGCATCAGGGGCGGAGATGGTAGGTTTTGGGGTGGGGTTAAATATCAGGGGTTGGAGATGGGTAGGATTAGAGGTGGGGTTAGGCATCAGGGGGCGGAGATGGTAGGTTTAGGGTGGGGTTAGGTATCAGGGGTGGAGATGTGTAGGTTTAGGAGTGGGTTTAGGGATCAGGGAAAGAGATGGGTAGGTTTAGGGGTGGGGTTAGGCATCAGGGGCGGAGATGGTAGGTTTTTGGGGTGGGGTTAAATATCAGGGGTTGGAGATGGGTAGGTTTAGGGGTGGGTTTAGAGATCAGGGAAAGAGTAGGTTCAAGGGTGGGGTTAAGCATCAGGGGGCGGAGATGGTAGGTTTTTGGGTGGGGTTAGGTATCAGGGGGTGGAGATGGGTAGGTTTAGGGGTGGGTTTAGAGATCAGGGAAAGAGATGAGTAGGTTCAAGGGTGGGGTTAGGCATCAGGGGGCGGAGATGGTAGGTTTTGGGTGGGGTTAGGTATCAGGGGGTGGAGATGGGTAGGTTTAGGGGTGGGTTTAGAGATCAGGGAAAGAGATGAGTAGGTTCAAGGGTGGGGTTAGGCATCAGGGGGCGGAGATGGTAGGTTTTTGGGTGGGGTTAGGTATCAGGGGGTGGAGATGGGTAGGTTTAGGGGTGGGTTTAGGGATCAGGGAAAGAGATGTGTAGGTTTAAGGGTGGGGTTAGGCATCAGGGTTGCAGAGATGGGTAGGTTTAGCGATCAGGGAAAGAGATGGGTAGGTTTATGGGTGGGGTTAGGCATCAGTAACTTAAGTAGCAAATCTCGATAGGTCGCATGAATCGTCAGAACACCTGTTGAAGGGCTTCCAATCTGACATTCAGGTAGCTCTGTTTTTGATGGACAGGTAGGTAAATCCAGTTTGGTTTTTATAAATGGACTTTTATGTTTGCCTAACAAACACAAGGATATAATTAGCTAGAACAATGCAGTCAGTGCTAATTTTGGTGAATGCAACATATAGGTTTCTAGCAGCTGTAAATGATCACTCAAACTCACACTCACAAGTGCGTCCTTGTTTGGGAGCTAAAGTTATAACCTCAAAACGAAACGTTTTATCGTGTTGCTCTGGTAATGTTTTTTTTTCTGCATTATATGAAAGTATTTATCTAACTTGGCGACATTACACCTTGAATGAAGTAACATTATCAGTAAAACTACAGGTGGATGAAAGGTCTAGCTAGACTTCGTTTTGTTTGACAATACTTCGAATGTGAACAAGAAGTGACATCACCCAACATCGCTTAGAGCACCTTTAATTAGGACAGTACTAAATAAATAATAACATGCATTTTGTATGATCCCTCTTATTTTGTTAAAATAATTAACATTTAGCAGATTCTGAAAGGTGTATGCAAACTTTTGAGCACAACTGTATATTGAAAGAATGTGCTAATTTATACCAGCAAGAATGCATTAAATTAGGGGTGGGTGGGTAAACAAGGGGGTGATTTCCATCCAACTCCTTGCTAAAATTCTGATGGGACATCATGAGAAACTACCTTCCATACACTCTACAAAGACTCCCAATGTCTAAATATCATGGGAAATTCTATAGATTTCCAATTCCTTTCAAACTCCAAAGAACTCTAGGCTTCTTATTGAAGAATGGTGCAATATCCCACAGTTAAAGTTCAGAATTTCACTATTCCCCAAAGAAACTGTAGCTCTTCTAAGACAAAAGCAAAGTCCTGGAAATTAATACAGTTATAGATGTTGTTACTTATATTATATCTAACCCATGTATATCTGAAATGTTAGAGCCCCCTTAACTTCCCTTTTTAGTGTTTTCCATTTATTTAATGTCTTTGTGGGCTAATGTTTTGTCACCCAATGAAACGGCAGCAAACAAAAACTTTTCTGAAAATGGTTTTCATTAAACTGGTCCAGCGTTCAGCAGACACCACTGGATTAACTGTCCATGGGAAAGTTGCCAGTGGCCTCTATTCCATTGATCTCACTCAATAATTTATCAACTGTGAATTATTCATGTCCTACAGAGAACTCTGGATCCACGAGGGATCTCTGTTTTCCCTCATTTGTCTCGTGAATTCATTGGCTGGGTACACCGTGAACTCTGAATTGACTCTCTGAGCTTTTGTGTGAGCGTGTTTGTATGTGTGACGGTTTTTGATGGATCTGTTGTCTGGAGTAGATCATCTTGCATTGGAATCTTCATTCACAGTGTCTTTATATCCACCTCTGCTAAGTCATGGTGATAAATCAACCAGACGTTCTTATACTGTGTGCGGTTTGAGTATATTGCTTTTTAAAAGCTCTTCTGTCTTTTCTTTATAGGTTGCAGCAATAAACAAAGCAGGAACTGGACCCTTTAGCCAATCTCTTTACTACAAAACAGCAGAGGCCCGTAAGCACTATCCATGTATTTCATATAACTTGTTTTCAAAACCCTAATGAGCTGCTTTACTGTCTAGAGAGGTAGTTACCATCAAAGGTGCAATATTGCATGAGCAATATTGTTAATGATCGCACGTATAAAACACAATTGGCTCTCCTCCTGTGAAGTGCATTGAAGTCTACTACTGTCTACTGCCTTCTATTCATCAAAGAATTCTGAAAGAAATGAATCACAGTTTCCATAAAAATATTAAGCAGAAAAAGCGGTTTTCAACATTGATAATAAGACCTGTTTCTTGAGCAGCAAATAAGCATATTAGAATTATTTCTGAAGGATCATGTGACACTGAAGACTGGAGAAACGATGGTGAATAAATCAGAGGAATAAATCACATTTTATATTAAAATAGAAAATTATGGAAGCTTGTTTCCACCACCAAATAAAAAAAATAATTAAAAAGGTAATTGCAACACAATTCTGACTTTTTTCTCAATGACTTGCGAGATATAAACTCGCAATTGCGAGAAATGTCTATAACAGGTAATTTTGAGTTTATATCTCACAATACTTACTTAATCTCACAATTCTGACTTTATAACAGGCAATTGTGAGTTTATATCTCGCAATTCTGAGAAGTAAATTGAGAGATAAAAAAGTCGCAATCATTTTTTTAAATGTTTTGTTCTGTGGCGGACACAAGCTTCAATAGAAAATGTAGAAAAGCTCTTTTAAATTGTAATAATACAGTATTTCAAAATATTACTGTTTAGTGAATTTACTGTTTACCGACTTTTTGAGCATTGACCAGCATAAGAGACTACTTAAAACAAAAAAACATTAAAAAATCTTACTGACCCCTAGCATAATTTTGCTACCTAGTGAGTAATGTGGTGACTAAGTGGGCAGCTCATTGGGTTTCAAACAAATGTGTAGAATTCATTCGATTTGAACATATATTTTCATTCTGCTTGTTAGAGTGTGTATATGTTTTAATCCATGTGTTAATGTTCAATCTCAGCCCCTGGTCTGGTGTCAAACCTCACAGCTTTTGCTGATGATCACACATCAGTGTTAGTGACATGGTTTCTCCCAGTACGCATCAATGGCCTTATCGCTAAGTTCGCAGTGAAAGTCAAACATGCCCGAACAGGCCAGATCGTCCGCACGCTGGAGCTCAATGCAGAGGACATCATGAACGGAGCTCTGCCTCACTGCAACGTACGTCTTTGCTTGTATTAATGTTTATATGAAATGATACAAGACACCTGAACCAAATTCAAACCACCTTAGAGTTATATGCATCGATCTGCCAATCTTTTACAATTAGTTTCAGTTGTTTATGTGTCTCTTAGGATGCAGCGGACATCTTATCTCGTGGAACTCCAAGCCCGTCCGAGTCTTCCCAGTTGACGTCTGCTGCGCTCCCCTCTGTAACACTCTCAGCTGTTCCCCCCGCCTCCGTCTGGAGCGTTCCAATCAGTGTAAAGATTGATGAGCTTCGCCCCTACACACCTTATGTGTTTGAAGTCTCTGCCTTCACCAGTGAAGGGGAGGGACAGATTGCCAGCACTATGGTCCGCATGCCGGAAGCTGGTATGCTATCAATCACACACACTTTATTTTTATATATATATATATATATATTACTGGTTAAAGTCGAAATTAATGCTTCTATTCAGCAATGATACATGAATTTGATCAAAAGTAAAAGCATTCATTTTGGTATAAAATATTTCTATTTCAATGCTGTTCTTTCAATCAGAATCCTCAAAAATCATATCTTGTTTTCTACAAAAATATCAACAAATGTTTCAAACACTGAAAATATGAATTATACCTGACAATACAGAAGCTGAATTGTGTTGAAAATTCTGTTTTATGTTGTCTTGTTCAAATAATCGCAATTTCCACAATTATATATAATCTGATGTTTCTGTAACAAATCAAAAATGTAAAGACAAAAATGTGTGTTGCAGCCCCTGAAGACCCGCCACAAAATGTTGTTTTAAGAAACATCACTTCCAAATCTCTGTCTTTAACTTGGGACCCACCAAAGATCACCACAGGACGATTCAGTTACGTCATCCAGCTCCACAGCTCTGAAGGTAACACTCTCTGGCACCCCATGACCATCAAACCAATGTCTTTACCATTGAAGGGATAGTTCACCCAAAAAATTTTATTAGCCCATGATTTACTCACCCTCAGGTCACCCGGTGTATATGACATTCTTCTTTCAGACGAGTACAATCTGAGTTATTTGAAAAAATGTCCAAGCTTTGTAATGGCAGTGAATGGCTGTTTCTATCTATCCATCATAAAAGTGCTCCACACATCTCCAGGGGGTTAATAAAGGCCTTCTGAAGCGAAGCGATGTGTTTGTGCAAGAAAAATATTCGTATTTATCATGTTACAAAGTAAAATTATAGCTTCTGGCCAAATGGCCATACACGGACTTCTTGCGTCTAAAGTGCAACTTACGTATCTTGTGATGTTAGAAGTAGCATAGTGCGTCATGGCGTAGCGTAAATATCAGCAATACGTCGCATTACTCGCATAAGTTGTGCTTTAGACTTGCGTGCAATCTAACCTTTGCGCCATGACACACAAAAATTTGTGTTGCAGCCACATTTTACTTCTAACGTCACAAGTTGCGTAAGTTGCTCTTTAGACACAAGTAGACTGTGTCTGGTCGTTTGGCTGGAAGCTTGTTATTTAACTTTATAAAGTTTTAAATATGAATAGTTTTCTCACACACACTCATCGCTTCACCTCAGAAGGCCTTCATTAGTCCCCGGAGCCTCATGGAGCACTTTTATGATGGATAGATGCAGGTTTACAGTATTGGATGGATAGATGCACTTGAATGGACTGCCATTCACTGCCATTACAAAGTTTGGAAGAGCCAGGACATGTTTTAATACAACTCTGATTTTATTAGACTGAAAGAAGGTTGACTTGTGGGTGAGTAAATCATTGGCTAATTTTAATTTTTGGGTGAACTATCCCTTTAATATTGTACTCAGATAGACACCACACACAATCCCTTAACCTAAACCAGTTGGATGGCCTTGCGTTTAGGTTTAGCACACATTCTCCAGACTACTTAGTTCAAAGCACATCCTCTTTTTGTTTGTGTATTAATGTGGTGCATTTATATGTGTATTTCAGGGTTAATTAGTGAGAACGGCACAATCGATCAAGGTTTTATTTACACTGGACTGACTCCATACACACAATACTACATCTATGTGATGGCCAAATCCTCGGGGGCCACAGGACCGGCAGCAGTGGTCAACATTACAACAAAAGCAGAAGGTAAACACACAAACACACATGTGTTTTCATGTTTTATGGAGACTTTCCATAGAAATAATGATTTTATTCTGTGCAAACTGTATATTCTATTCCCCTACACTTATCCTACCCATCACAGAAAATGTCTCGTTTACATATATGGCATTACCTGAGGGAGAGAAGAGAGACGTAGGTAATGACTGACCAATAGGAATCTCGCTAGAGAGGCAATCTACTTCGAGTGAAACTAAAACAAGCCAATACACACACGAACGAAACATAGGATTCTCCACCCGGCCCTTTCCTGGGGGATGGAGCGATGCAGTCATCGTCTCCTTGAGAGCAGTCCCCTCAATCTCTGGGTGGTCCGTCCGTCTGCATGCCACTGACTTTGCCGCCCTTCTTGGCGGGGGCCTGGACGGTTGGGGTGGCCTGCCTGTGGCTGGCTCCACGGCGCTGTTTAGGTAGGGGCTGCTGCTGCGGCACGGGAGCAAGGGCAGAAGCAGGAGGATGCCCCTGGTGACGAGCAGAATGAGGAGCCCCAGGAAGGAAGACACAGTTCTCCACTCCAAGTGGAGTTATAGCACAGCTGCATTGCAACGGGCCGTTCCACTGGCGTGATACGCGTGTATCCCTTAGCTGCCCTGCCATCAAGGGTGGTGAGGGAGTAGGAGGCACCGGTAAGGTTTCTGGCAGTGAAAGGTGCTGTCCACGTCCCTGTGAGCTCCTCATCCACCTCCGGGAAGAAGGGCACTGGAGTGGGTTGCTGAGAACCAGAGTGCGCCACCCCAAGATACCAATGATTACCAATGAAAAGACGCAAACTATCTGTGTATGCTCTTTAAGGAACTGCTCTCACAAGTGCTGAGGCACACGGGGGAACAGCCACCGTGATCACAGACAGGAATGTGCACCCATCTGTGCGCGCTCTCTCTCTCGCTGCTTACCAAAACAGCTTTTCTGTGCTCTCACCAGCCATTAAAACAGCTTTTACTTACTCAGGAAGAGAGAGAGGGAGAAAAAGGGTTGGCTCCGAAGCAAAAAACTTAGGCTATGTTTACATGGAAACGATTCTGAAGAGACAACGCAAAAGTGGCGTTGCGTCATCACGTTTAGACGAGCGTTTTGTGTGGGAAATCCGCGTGCAAATGTTGATGCAAAAGTGTGTGAAATTCAATGTAGTATGCACTTCAGGCGGCTAGGAGTGCATACTACAACAACACCAAGTCCATGCGCCTGCGTACAACCTTCACTGTCAAGCAGACATTTGCGTTTTTACGTTTACACGGGAACCCGGCGGTGGAGCATTTTTAAGATTTCCACTCTGGAGGGTGGTTTAACTTTTTTGCATTTTTAAGCCTCAAAAACGCTGTCGCCGTGTAAACGAAAGGCACATCCGATAAAATATTTTTACATTTTCACCCGGAACCGTTCTTGTGTAAACGGGGCCTTTAGTGCTACCCCAGCAGCTGCTCGTTTATACCTGTGTTAATGAGGTCATGCAGCTGAGGCAAATGATTGCATGCCAATGTGTATTGTTTTACAGTCATGACCTACGTTGTAGTGACTGACAAATATGGAACATTCTGCAATTTTACATTTTTCAAAAAATATCACTTAGTAGGATTTATAAGCCTTTTCCTTATAGGGACCAAAAATTTCCCCATAAGGATTTCAGATATTGCCATCTTAATCCAACATATTGTCACTATAATACAGGGTTTACCAGGCAACCCACCCACTCACATGCGCACGGCTTACCAGGACATCAGACTCACTCTTACCCAAATCCAAACCGCTATAAAAGAACATTTTTGCTTTTTTATGTGAAAAAAAAGATTTATTTAATGATTAATTTTGTTTTCCAGTTTAGTATGTCCCCATATTTTCCTAAAGCGAGTTTTTATCAGATGTATGATGTATTTCATTGTTTTTTGTAAACCTTTAGACATTATATAATATTAGATAAAGAGAACCTGAGTGAAAAAAGTATATAACTGAACTGATTTTGTTAAAAAAACGACTGTCAAATTATTACCGTCAAGTTAAACTGAAAGTATTATAAATGAGTAGTGGCTGCTGAAAATTCACCTTTGACATTATAAATGAACTAGTTTTCTATTCAAATACATTTTATAATATTTTAAGTTGTAATAATATTTCACAATATCACTTTTGATCAAATAAATGCAGCCTTGGTCGGCATATGAGACCGGCCCAAAACGTTGCAATAGTAATCAAAATTAAGTGTATGCATTACCTAGATGAACCCTATTTAGCTGTACTGACTGCAACTTAAAGAAGCATTAAATCACTTTTGATTCCCCTGATGTGGAACTGCTTTTGTTGTTTTTTTCTCGCCATTTTCTTACTACATGACCCAGCTAAACTTTAGCTGTGAATTATCGATGAATTGCCACACACATCTAAATTCATGATTTTCCACTACAGTGGAGGATTAATGGTTCCTTCAGTTGTGGCATTCAGGTTTTCCTCACATGACCTAATTTTGATTGATTGTTGGTGTTGCGTTTTCTCAAACTGTGTTTGTGTATGCTTGAAGGAGGCATATTGGGAGCCATGTTGACCAAAGCAATTCCATTTTTTTAACTCATCTGTATGGAGATTGTAGAACATACTCCCAAAAGGCTCAGGGAATGTGTACGTGTTTGTGACTTCTGTAAGTGTTCAGACTTGGGGGTCAAAATAAGTGAGAGTTATAAATTAGGTTTATATTCAGCTGGTCTGGTTGTAATTAAGTCTGTCTGAAATCAGCTATCTCTAATTATACCTTTAATTGGGTTACTTTAGCTGGAGGAAATGGCTTTTTCATACAGAGCCAAGTTGTTGCTGCATAGCTGAATGCTCATTAAATGCATGGAAAAACAAGAAAGGTTATTTGTTCACTTAGGGTTGCTTTTATCTAAAATTAGATTTTGGTCAAAAGCCTCAAAGCATCCAATGCCGAAAATATGTGATAAATAAAGGGCTTTATTTTCTCAGCAATGTATTGTACAATTGGAAATATTTATCAGTAGTTCTTAATGGACATTATTTATCCAACCATGGATTTACTGTCCATACTAGTTTCCGCCAGAAAAAATGATGACGATCACGTTCGTTTTACTGACATTTTGATGATATGCCGGTCAAATATCACCTCATAATTAGTCAAGTTGAGGAAAACTGGAGGCAGGCTATGTATCTTAAAAAATGAAGAAGAAAAAAATCAGGCCGTACTGACTGCAACATGTTTATTAGCCTAACATTTAAATAGAAGGGAAAAAACATGAATGTCCGATTGGTGTCAATCAATGGCAATTGTTTTTACTATAGTTTCACATTCATAGTTTAACAAACCAGTCCCCCTTCCCCACATAAAATATCTGAATAGTAGCCTCAAGCGAACTTAATTATACACTCTAAGTATGTCTCATTTAGCTGGAAACATTTAAATTGGCCACTGTGAAATGACTCCTTGTCAAATGAACTGACAAACAAATGACTAGGCCTATAACATTGTCTCGCGTCATTTTAGGCTACTTTTTACACTGTTAAATACAGCCTTGCTGAGCATGTGTTCAGTCACTGTGTTCATTCACTCGTTGCGAAGTCTTGTTGGTGTTACACTGCACTCACTTTGAGTCTTGGAGCATTAAATAACAGAAGACTTCGCTACAAGTGAATGATCACACTGGATTTAAATAGGCTAACATTAACGAGATAATGACGGTTGGTTGCAGTAATCAGAACATGAGTCCAGATTATAGGAAATATAGTTCATGAAGCGGTAAAGGAGACTCATGAATTGTACTCTAGTGGTTATCATAGGGACTCCAGCAGGCTGGTGTAACAATAGGTTTCTTTAAATAATATATATATATGTACTCTTATTTAAAGAAACTACGAGTGACAATTTGTTGTCGTGTGTTATTAAAGCATGTTTTATTTTTTAAAAAATGCTCTTAATTTTATTTTAAAGCATTTTCTAACTAATTTTAAGTCATATTGTGACTCCCTCAGAACTTTGCTGAGGGCCTTGGCTAAGTATACGGCAAGGTGTGTTAATAACTGTGTGTGTTTGTGGTTTATTTATTTCCATGTTAGCCCCGAATGCTGTGTCTCATCTGACAGCAGAGGCTGTGGACTCCACGTCGGTTCGTCTGTCCTGGAGATCCCCGAGCCAACCAAACGGCTTGATAAGCCAATATCGGATTCTAGTGCTGTACCGTACTATGCTTGTACAGAACATCACCCTAATAGGACAGGTAGAACAATAAATTACACTAGCCTGCGCACACTCACTCTATTTTGTTTGGTTTAGCTTCTCTGATTTTATGTTGTTGTTACAGAACGCTGTCTCTCAACAACTTCGTCGCAATGCAAGGTCACTTGACATCACCACAGAATCTGCATTCACTCTCACCTCACATGGAACATTTCTGACTTTGGGTCGCGGTCTTACCAACACTGACTCGGAACTAACCTCTGACCTTCCTTTGACCCCAAGCACCCCCCACACGCCTCCACCCTGGCTCACAGTTACCCACGACAGAACCAATGCATCTGTTCTGGCTGAGACTGAGGCTGTAACCGAGGACCCTTTGACTGATTTTTCACCTCTTACTCTAGGCACTGACCAACCGCCATTGGTTAACTTAAGCCCCTCCCAGCCCCGTCGTGTCACTAGGGCAGTGGCCACAGATTACACCCAGCAGCAGACGAACCTCCCAACAAGAGCTGCCACTACCATTGGAATAGAAGGTAAATAACGCCTCCCACTGACTCCATCCACTATGACCTCACTCACATTTCAAGGTTTTTGTGATTTGCATATTAATAGTACCGTTTAAATCACAATTATAATAACAACTCATAATTTTCTTAAGTTAGGAAGGATACAGTTTAAAATCCCCATGTATAAAGTTTTTTTCAGTAATGTGATTTTGAATAAACCTTTCAAGGCAGAACTACTGTGTTTTTTTTAGCCATTGTTGCCATACAAAAGATACCGAAACAAGTATTTTACTCTTATTTACTATTTTATATGTAAATTATAATATTTTTAAACTCTTTATTGAAGACTTGTTGAAGAATGTAGAAAATGAAAGGGAAATTAAAAAACATGTGCAATGAAAAAGTGGGCTGTTATTTGTGCTTTCTTTTTCTGATTGGTTGTGCCCGTGTGCTGTGTTTTGATTGACAGTTCAACCAGCCATTGAGGAGACAGCAGACCTGTCGTCTGATCACATCATGTATGTGGTTAGAAGGCTGAGCCCTTTCACAGAGTACATATTTAGCGTGTCTGCAACAAATATTATTGGAGATGGACCTTCCTCACAAGTAACAGTGAAAACAACTGAACAGGGTAAAATACTTTCAAAAATACTGAGTAATTCAGTAGTTATAAATATAATACAACGGTATAAAGTAACCCCAGTGTTTTCCCACAGTGCCAAGCTCTGTTCAGAACGTGTCCTATCAGAATCTTACCTCCACCTCTATCCGTGTTACCTGGGAGCCGCCCCTCAACCCCAACGGCAAGATAACGCACTACGCTATGTACGCACAAAATCTCCTCACAAACCAGGAATTACGACTGATGACGGACAACACCACTGCGGTGCTCACAGGTAAAATTGACCAAAACGGACAACAAAGACATTTCTAAAGTTACGAAAGATGACATTTTTTGTTCATCAAATAATCCTGGAAAAAAAGCAGCACAGTCGTTTTCAACATTGAAAATAATCAAACGTTTCTTGAGCAGCAAATCAGCGTATTTGAGTGATTTATGAAGGATCATGTGACACTGAAGACTGGAGAAATTCAGCTTTGCATCACAGGACTAAATTGCATTTTGAAATATATTGCAATAGGAAACAGTTATTAGATATTGTAATAATATTTCACAGTATTCCTGTTTTTACTGTGGTTTGGTCAAATAAATGCATCCTTGGTGAGCGAAAGAGATATTTAAGGCATTTCTAAGTGTCTCAAGTGTTTAAAAGAGGTCAATGTATGACACTATTCATGGTCATATCCACAGGTCTGGACAAGTACAGCAGTTATAAGGTGCGTGTGGCGGCATCTACAGCTGTGGGGGAAAGCCCCATGACCGATGAAGACTACATCTTTGTTGTGACACTAGAGGATGGTATTGAGACAATTATTTTTCATACACATGCAGAAGTACTCTTTAACACACACGGACACGGGAGATCTCTCAGTATGCCTCTGTCTATCTTTTAGAGCCGGATTCACCCCCACAGGATCTGGTTGTTGTGAAAACCACCTCCTCCTCTTCTACTCTCTCCTGGTCTCCTCCAGAGAAGCCCAACGGCATCATCCGCCTGTATGAGGTCTCCTACACAAACGGCACATACAGCAACACCGTCAACAGCACATCACTCAGCGTCACACTGCACTACCTGAAGCCGTACACGCACTACAATGTGACTGTCCGTGCATTTACCCTGCATGGACACGGGAACCAGATTTCTGATACTCTACAGATGTTGTCCGGGGAGGATGGTGAGTCATTGTGTGTGTTTGTATTTAATTGGAAAAACTAGAAGAAACATAAAACTTTAATCTCATCCTGAAATCCCACACTCTTTCCCCTTCAAAAGGTTTCTAGAGTTAAAGGGTTTGTTCACCCAAAAATTTAAATTCTTTCATTATTTACTCACCCTCATTTTTTTCCAACCTTGTAAGACCTTCGTTCATCTTCGGAACACGAATTAAGATATTTTTGATAAAATCTGAGAGCTGGATCACTCCTGCATACTAGTCCATAGGCTTCTTGAGGAATTGAAACTTGCCGGCCTCGAAAAGTTATTAAAGACATCGTTAAAATAGTCCAAGTGACTACAGTGGCTCAATCTTAACTTTATCAAACGACGAGAATACTTTTTGTGCACAAAAAACAACAAAAATAACGACTTATTTCAACTGAACAACTTTATTTCAACTATTCATTTACTTCTTTCTCTGCCTTGAGTCAAGTTACTAGTTTAACTGTGTAAGCTTCTGTTATTGTATGTTACATGCATCACACACATGACCAGCGTCGGCCAATAGAGAGCCTACGTGTGACGTAGCTCTACGCTATCACACTGACTAGAGGCCCATTGAGACGGAAGTGAATAGTTAAAGTCGTTATTTTTGTTTGTTTTTGCGCGTAAAACGTATTCTCGTCGCTTGATAAAGTTTCAATTCCTCAAGAAGCCAATGGACTAGTATGCAGGAGTGATTCATCTCTCAGATTTCATCAAAAATATCTTAATTTGTGCTCCAAAGATAAACAAAAGTCTTACGGGGTTGGAACAACTTTCTGTTTATCAGAGAATGTATCATGGTTTCCACAAAAATATGAAGCAGCATAACTGTTTTCAGCATTGATAACAATAAGAAATATTTCTTGAGCACCAAATCAGAATATTAGAATGATTTCTGATGGATCATGAATCATATATTTAAGAAATATGTGTTGGTATTTATATATAAAAATTAATATTTATATATAATATAAATTATGTATAAATACATACAATATATACATGCATGTGTGTGTATTTATATATACAAAATAATTATACGCAGTACACACACATGCGTTATGTAAACACAAACTTTTATTTTGGATGTGATTAATCACGATTAATCGTTGCCCAGCTATAGTTATACCATGTAATAAAATTTCACAATATTACTGATTTTACTGTATTTTGATCAAATAAATGCAGGCTTGGTGATCATAAGAGACTTTATTCATAAAGCACACAGGTGATCGCAATTCAATTCTGGTTCTCATCATTGGTCGACCCCATTCCTCCTTTCCATAGTAAACAAAAATGGCCACTTGCAAGAGGTTCTATTGAATATCAGACGTTTTCAGGCTGAATTATATTTCAGACACAATGTGGCCAGCCTATTTATTTTTCTGTTGTATAGCATTTGCACTGAGTGCTGACTTTTCTTGTGTGTTGCAGTGCCTGGCAGCCCACCTTATGATTTGACCTATGAGAGCATCGGATCCAGCAAGGTGAACGTGACGTGGATGCCACCGCTTCTCGCAAACGGCATCATCCTGTTCTACAACGTGGAATACTGGAACGCCACACACAGTCTGAACCAAACCACACATGTGCCTTATGTTGTCCTGTCCAACCTGCGGAAGTATGCGCGTTACCGCATCAGCGTGCAGGCTGCCACACAGGTCGGCTTGGGCAACCACACGAGCGAGATCCTGAACATCACCACACTGGAGGACGGTGAGTGTTTGTTCCCTGTGGTGTTTAATTAAGCTATTCTTCCTTTTTAGTGTCAGTCATCAAAGTGAATATATCTGGTGAAAGTATCAGTGTCACACGTAAACATTTCTCCTTTTTTCAGCTTTTCTGTGGACGGAAATTGGAGTGTTTTATTGTTTTTAACTATTTTTATTTCTCCCAAATACATTTCTGACAGCACTCCGGAGTGTTATGGATCAATTTTGTCTTTAAAGCAGGTTAATGTTTCTACCTCAGGAGTCAGAGGAGCTTACCAGCAATGTATTTGTTTGTTTCTCTGTGTTTGGTTGGTTAGTTGTTCCCTTATCAGTTGTCAAGATGGACACATGCGGATAATGCACATACTAACCCCGATCACTATCATGTTTGAGAGTAAAGTCATTTTCCTCGGTTTTGGGTCTATAATAGCTGTTTTTCCTAAACGGCAGTACCCAGTTCCCCTCCAAAATTCCTAATCGCCAGGAAATTGTCAGATACTGAGGTAGAGTTGTCCTGGAAACCTCCCGTGGAGGCCAACTCGGAGATTTTATACTACATAGTGAGAGTGTGGTAAGTCCAGACGATTTAAAATCAGTTTTTACCAAAGACCAGACTGCAGTCATACTGTTTTTTGAAACTTACATGTATGTTCGTTTATTAGGAATCTGAGCTCTGAATTTGTGGCCAATGTGACAAATACATCAGTGGTGGTGAGTGTGGAGGGGCCAGGCCGGTATAATGCCTCCGTCAGCAGCTGGACTCGATTCGGAGATGGAGGGCTTCTGATTTACATCACGTTCAGTACTGTAGAATCAGGTGAACACAAATACGTTTGGCTCCTAACAACCTTGACACATTTAGATATGATAAGCATATTTATAATGTGAAGAGTGCTGCTTTGTGCTCATATGCCAAATTTTTGGCCAAAATCTTGTGCAGCATCACAAGTATCATTGAATAAACTTGTGGGGGAAAAAATATTGCAGATGAGGGAAATATTAGATTTAAATTTAAAAGTGTGGAGTCAGTAAGATTTTTTTTATTTATTTAAGAAATTAACACTTTTAATCAGCAAATGATGCATTTATGTGATCAAAACTGACAGTAAATAGTTTTACATTGTTACAAAATATTTATATTTTTAAAATATATTATAATAATTAAAAATGTATGATATTTTTGTTATATAAATCGCACAATTGTTTTTAATATTGATATTAATAATAGATATTGATGACTGCTGAAAATTCAGCTTTACCATCACAGGAATAAATGAAATTTTAAATTATATTCAAATATGCAAATTATATTCAAATAGAAAATTAAATATATTCAAATAGAAAAGAAAGTTACTGATCAAATTATAAAATAAATGCTGCATACGAGAGTTCTTCCAAAAAAACATTGAAAAAATTTTACCGACCTTTAACTTTTAAACCGTATTGTTTATTCTGCACTGAAAACATTGATAGAAATAGAGCAACATTTAACTTGTTTCAGGGCATGTCAGTTCAGTCACTTGTAAGGTCACTTTAAAGTTAGAATGCTGCTCTAGAAGATTGCTTTATAGAGTGAGGCAGCTCACTAGGTTTGAAAAGGATTCATAATACATAATAATAGCACGAAACAGCATTGCCCCTGTATTTATAATGTCAAATTCTTTTTCTGTTTTGCAGCCCCATCTGACCCTCCACAGAATGTATTATTCACACTTCTTACGACCACTACAGTGCTTCTCAGCTGGAGTCCTCCAAATGAACCCAACGGCATCATCCAATACTACACAATCTACTACACAGACAATTATACAGAGTATACACAGGTATATGCACTCACATAGATGTGTATTGATCTTTTTGAAGACACTAAATACTATGTCATGTGACAAGCTATTAAAATGACTTTAATATAAATCCGATAAGTAATTGGTAATTTTGATGGTCTGTAGCACTGGGTAGCTCCGTCTACAGTTAAATCTCATTTAATATAGCTATGTAGTAAGTGACACATAGTGTTCATTTTGGGATTCTTAATATTAAAAAAAAATATCTTTTGTTTACCAAAAGCTGCATTTATTAGATTGAAAATAGTGAAAACGGCAATATTTTGAAATCTTATTACAAAAAAAAAAAAATGTTAAATGTAATTTATTCATGTGATGTTAATTTGGTGCTCAAGAAACTTTTCTCATTAGTATCAGTATTAAAAATAGTTTCTTAATATTTTTGTGGAAACTGGAAACAATGTTTTTTTTTCAGGATTCTTTGACGAACAGAAAATTCAAAAGAACACCATTTGAAATAATAAATTGATCAAAAGTAAAGACATTTATAATGGTACAACAGATTTTTAAGTATTTAAGTATTATTCATTGCTCATGGAATATTTTTTTCGGAAATGTTTTGGGTGGACGTTTGTCTCACGTTTTTTAAACATTATTACTTGTTTCAGAATATTCAGAGAACATTTAAAATTAACATTAAAAAGATAAAATACAATCTTGCTGGCCCCAATGGCAGAATTTGTTCTGATTGGTTGTTATTGTGTGCTGTCGTGCAGCAATTTCACTTTCAATGTGGACAGAAAAAGTATTTGTCTCTGGAAACATTTATCTGTTTATTCAGTGTTAGACTCAAGCTTCCCTAGCTTAGCACACAATGTATTCTAACCACAATATACTGTAGATATGAATTGTTTAGATATGAGTTAAGACATTTACTTCTAAGGTTGTTTTCTTGTGTTCATCTCTTCACAAGATACAGAACATTTGCCAGTAAAAATTAAAGAAATAAGTAGCAAAATGTTCCATGTTATTTGGAGATTTACCATTTATTCTTCGAAGTACAATGAAATACATGAATATAATTATGTTAATCATCAATACAATCCCAGCTAACAAAAAATATGTTTTAAGAACGTTTTTCTAATGTTCATATTAAGTTATGAATCCTTTTTCATAACTTTACATTAATAACATAACATTAATGTTATTATGACTAAATGTTCTCTGAAACATTTTTTTCTTTTTCTTTCATGCAAAGGTTAAGGTTACATTCTATTTAATCATTCGGCAAATTATGGGAACTTTTGAATGTTCTCTGGACATTCGGAAACGTTTTAAATGATAGTCCAACCAAACCGTTTCAGAAACAAAGTTCCATGAAAAATGTATCAATTAAAAGTAGGTTAGGTAATTTCGGAGCGGCTAGCAATAGCAAGCTAGCATGAGATCCAGCCCTTCCTCAGACGGTCCCCAAAGCCACGCCTCCTTTAAAAAACATACACTCGCAGGTCACACACAGCCCGAGCAGATTCGGGGAAGTGTCAAAAGAGACTGCATTAAGTTACCTCATATATCAAAGCACATAACATTACAATAATGAACGTAAACAACTTGCAGAGCTCTAATTGTTCCACCTGAATGCTGCAGATTCATTTCGGCATTGATAGTGTTTGACATAACTCATTAATCCGAGAACAAAAAATGCAACATTAGCTTGTTGTTTTGGTTCAGGGAGAGCTGTAAAAATCGTCTGCTGTTTGTTTGCGGTGCTTTGTGACTATCTGTCTACTACTCTATATGTTAAGAGATTTTAAGTCAGAATAACAAAAAGTATTTATGAAAAGAACTGCGTACCCTACCTTTAACGTTACTGGAAGAATGTTAATAGCTTTGAGAGAACTTTGCCACAAAGTTATGAGAATGTTCCCTGTTAGCTGGAAATCTATTATTATCTAATACCACCATTTGTACCGTGAAACCAGCAAAGTACATTCTTCTATCTCCACAAGAATAGCTACATCAATTAAAAATCTCATAAACACATTTTAAACTCGCAATAAAATGCTGATGTCATGCAGTAAATCAGCAGGTCCTTTTTCTCTCACTGTAGAGGGTTCCGGGTTCAGAGCAGTGGCTGGTGCTGTCTGATCTGATGGCAGGACAGGAGTACAGTGTATGGATGAGTTCCAGCACTTCTGTTGGTGATGGGGGAGTGTTCAGCCCCCGTCTAAACTTCACCACGTTAGAGGACGGTCAGTCTCCTCACACGCTCAGGGGAGAATTCAGATCTGCACCACTTTTCCAAATGATTATGCTTTAAAAAATCACACTGAAACTCATACACACATACACACACACACAGCACATATTCAGCATGTCTTGTGAAAGGAGACAACTTCCTCCAAGCTGCAAACTTGGGATTGTTGAGCCCTCACCACGAGACTGAGTGTGTCTGATCTCAAAGTCTTTTATTTGATGGTCTCCAGACTATCCCAGCTAGCATTTCCTTTCACAGGATTTGTTGAAAAATAGCGAATAGCACATGCTGTTTTAGTTTTTTTCTGCAATGGCAAGTTTCTTGGTACATTATGTAGCATGATTAAAAAATACTGTAAATGTGTTGATCTGAATGATCATAAAACTTCTTGTTCGACAGCTATCGGAGACTTTTATGGTTGTACTGAGAAAAAGAGCCCAGTAATTTCAAAAGAGATTTTAACAATGTCTAAAGATGTGCTCAGATTTGCCAAAATCTACATTATAAACTCAATATGAACTTTCTCTTCAAGTTTTCCAAATTTGAGTAAATAATTAAAGAGTTGCTACAGATACAGCTATATAAAAATTTTATAGCTGTATACTCTTACTCTATGACAACAGTTGTTTATTTGGGGCCAGATTTACTAAACTGGGCAAACTAGCATGAGAGCACAATTACATAAAAGCTTAGATGAGAGTGAATAGTTCTGCGTGTGATCTACTGACGACACGCAAATTAAAGAACACAGAAGCAGCCGGATCATTTCCATAATGACCAACACAATCTACTAAGAGCAGCGCAAATTGGCATCTGGTTCAAGACGTGCTTTTTTTGGGCAGAAAATAATGGCGCAAGACAATTAAATGTACTTACTCAGGCTATGTTTACACGGAAACGATTGATGTTTACACGGAAAAGTGGTGTTGCGTTATCACTTTTTATTCTGCATTTAGACAAGCGTTTTGGGTGGGAAATCCGCGTGCATATGGTGACGCAAAAGTGTGTGATATTCAATTTAGTATGCACTCCAGGCGGCTAGGTGGCGATGTGGAGCACTGCCACACAACAACACCAAGTCCACGCGCCTGCGAACAACCTTCACTGTCAAGCAGACTTCTGCATTTTTACCCTTTACACGGGAACGCGGCGGTGGAGCGTTTTTAAGATTTCCACTCTGGAGGGTGGTTTCACTTTTTTGCGTTTTTAAGCCCCAAAAACGTTGTCGCCCTGTAAACGAAAGGCACATCCGATATAATATTTTTATGTTTTCACCCACGAGTGTTCTCGTGTAAACAGGGCCTCAAACCTTAGTAAATTACCTTGCATGATAGCCTGGGAAAACCCAGACAACTTCCGGCAAATTTAGGCTCTGTTTACGCGGGTAAAAACGTAAAAATATTTTATCGGATGTGCCTTTTGTTTACACGGCGACGGCGTTTTTGGGGCTTAAAACCGCAAAAAAGTGAAACCACCCTCCAGAGTGAAAATCTTATAAACGCTCCGACGTCGCGTTCCCGTGTAAAGGGTAAAAACGCAAAAGTCTGCTTGACAGTGACGCAGGTGCGCGGACTTGGTGTTGTTGTGTGACCTAGCCGCCTGGAGTGCATTCTACATTGCATTTCACACACTTTTGCGTCACCATATGCACACGGATTTCCCACCCAAAATGCTTGTCTAAACGCAGAATAAAAAGTGATAATGCAATGCCACTTTTGCGTTTTCTCTTCAGAATCGTTTCTGTGTAAACATAGCCTTAGATTTGCTCTGAAAGTTAGTCTGGCAAAGAGCTCATTCAAGCCCATTTACAATCCGTCGAAATCGCAGGACCAATCAGAAACGTTGGGGCGGGGTTTACACGATGACGATAGCGCTGGGATTTTGAAGCAGATTTTGTAGCCTACATTACAAAGATGGATGCCGCCATCGAACATCACTCGTTCGAATCAGCCATCGCGTCTGTTTTTAAGTGATTTGAACGTTTCCTTTTTGTTAAAAACCGAGTAAACAACACTCGGACATGTTTCTCCGCCCGCCGCCGCTCTGCATACGTAATCTCCTTCATCGCTCTGATTGGTTTAGGTCTATCCGCGACGTCCGTTGGTGACAGACAACCCTCTGGAAATTATTTTTCTATATTAGAATGGTCTGGTTTTAACCAGGCTACTTGCATGATTCATTTAAATACACCTCTCCCATAAATTTTGCGTCTGAAAGGGAAACTCCTACAAATGCATATGCAATAGAATCAGCCCCAAAAATAACCCTGTCCACACCTTCACAGTGCTAATTTTTCACTGAGTGTCTTTAATAAATCCTGACAGTCGTTTTTATCACCAAAAGAGGGTTTACGCTGGCGCAGCTTAGTTAGTAAATCTTGCCCTTTATACTGTTAGAAGAAACATTTAGTTGATACTTAACTGAGAACTCCATTAGGTCTCCTGAACTATGAAAGAGCAACATTTGAGCATTAAAATGTCCCCATGCAATACTTAGCAAGTGATTATGTTGACCTAATTTCAAAATCTATATTTTAAGGTTTTGTGTACGAATCATAATAGATGGTTTTTGTGTGATTTTGGGAAAAATGGTGCAGAGGTGACCTTTTGAAATAGATAAAGGTTTTCTCCCCTGGTGTCTGAGATTTTGAAAGTGTTCTATATGAATAAATGATGCTATGGTCCTGTTTGCTTCTTTGTGAGTGATTGCATCTGATTGGTTTGCAGTTATTGGAGAATCACCCTGCTTCAGCGGCTCAGTACAGCCCAAAGCAATATCTCGGACACAGAACATGCTCCAAATGGATTTTCCTTCTAACACAACATGTCTGTCTTTCTCTGATTCTTTATTCTTCCCTATATCTGTGATCTTTCACCTTGACTCTGAATTTTGCAGGTGCCGCGCAGGAGTTTATTTACCATTTTTAATTTCCACAGACTTACAGATGTGTGTAATGCGAATGCTGAAATTTATGTGTATTTATGTGTTGTATGCATTCTTGTGTACAGTATGAATATTCTAATCTCTGGGTTTAAGATACAAGATTTATTCTCACTGCTTTTAATCATTATTGAGTGATTTGTTGTTGCAGTGTGCCATTTTTTTCTTATATATAGAAATATATTTCTATATTTATTAATAAATTAGTTTAACTGTCATGTCTATGTAAAATTGATAATTTATTTAATTAAAATGTATTTATTTCTTAATTTTTTTAATTGTTTGAAAAAATTAAAAAAAATTAAGAAATAAATAAACGAAACTGTTTTCTTTACAATTAAGCTCATTCTCATTCCCAAATTTCTCATTACTGCAATGCAAAATATCACCCTTAAATATCATCTTTAAATTTATCAATATAATTTTATTTTACAAATGAACATTACAATATAAATACCAATTTAATTCGTTATCATTGTTTTTTGCAGTAATGAGACTCTTTTCACATAATCGTCACGAAGAGTGTAACATGAAAAACCTCTTAAAGGGATAGTTCACCCAAAAATGAAAATTCTGTCAGTCATTTCTCACCCTAATGTTGTTCCAACCCGGTAAGACTTTCGTTCATCATCGGGACACAAGTTAAGATATCTTTGATTTAATCTGAGAGCTGGATCCTCCATAGGCTTCTAAGGGATTGAAACTTGCCGGCCCAGAAAAGTTATTAAAGACATCGTTAAAATAGTCCAAGTGACTCAATCTTAAGTTTATCAAGCGATGAGGATAATTTTTTGGCGCAAAAAAACAAACAAAAATAATGACTTTATTACACTATTCATTTCCTTCTCTGTGGGCCTCGAGTACATCACACGTAGGCTCACTATAGGCTGACGCTGGTCATGTGTGTGATGTACAACACAGAAACGCTGTGCTGTTACTCTACCTGAGCTACCTGTGAGTAATTACTGACAGAATTTTTATTTTTGGGTGAATTTTCCCTTTAACAGTCCTTTAATAAGCTTACTTTTCATGTAAAATAAATGTTTTTCTTTTGATTTTGAGGTGAAATATATCCTAATATTGGCAGATTTCATGAGATGAGTCCTTATTTTATCACAAAGACATGTTTCACATTAGATTGGGGAACAAAGCCTCATTCCATTTCTTGGTTCCACATCGAAACAACATCTTTTATTTGGACTGCAATGATTTGTTCCCCATTCTAAAGTGTAACTGTTGACCATTCATCACATATATTAATTGGATGTCTTCCACCCCCTTCCCCTGCTGCAGTGCCGAGTGGTCCGGTCCACAACCTCACCGCTACGATCTATAGCTCTACGGCTGTAGTGATCAGCTGGGACCCTCCTCTGGAGCCCAACGGCAGAGTCTTCTACCAGCTGAGCTTGCAAGAGGCGGGAACGACCCACCCGTCCATCAACCGCACGGTCAACATCACCATCTCCAAGACAACCACAGACACCATCTACCTCTTCACCAAACTCAGAAAGTATTTTCCTTACATCATAAAAGTCACCCCAGCAACCGGTGCGGGATCAGCTGTAAACCACACTGCAACCCTCCAACTTCGAACAGATGAAGACGGTGCTCATCATTTCCTGTATTTTACATGCACATATATATATATATATATATATAAAGTGTGAGGGTTCATACTTATTGATTGTATACTCATTAAATGTCTTTGTTTGTATGTGTTCTGACAGTCCCAAGTTCTCCTCCATTGCCAGGAGCTAGTCGAAATCTCTCCAGCACCTCCATCCATGTGTCCTGGTTCTCCCCTGTGGAAGCCAATGGCGAGATTATAAATTACACTGTAGTTTTACAGGGTCCTGGGGCCGTCAACAGAACCTACACCTCTGAAACGCACCTAATTCTCTCAGAACTCACTCCGTTTTCAACTTACAATCTCTCCATCGCTGCGGTTACTCGCCAAGGTGTCGGCCCCTCTGTGATTATTCCACTACATACTGATGAAGCAGGTCAGAGCCATGTATTTATTGCTATTCTTTTAACTGATCTGTTAGAATTAAAAATATTTGATTCTTTGCTTTGAAATTTGGAGTTTGTTTAAAATTTGAACATTTAAAACAGATCTTTGAAAGTTTCAACTTTTGTTGAACTTTAAATATTTAAGTTTTTGCTTTGGAATTTGTTTGAAATGTGAATTTGTTATAGGAACATTTTATTTGAAGCCTGATATTTGGAAATTAAACTCTTAAGTCTTGGCTTTGAAATTTAAATTTTCTGAACTCAGAAATTTGAATGGCCTACATTGCAAATTCATACAGGTCAGACTTAAGGTGTCTAATGTCTTTGTGTGTCCAGGTCCAATGTCTCCACCACGCAATCTGAGTATTTTTAACCACACTGCAAATTCAGTATGGCTTCACTGGGAACCTAGTCTGGAGCCAAATGGAATAATCCAGCACTACGGATTCAGAATACTCGAACTGAACACATACACTTTCAGATATCAGGTAGTGAGTGCATCTATGTACAGTACATGTGTGATTATGATCTTAGATGTGTGTAAATTAAACTCACATGCCTCTGTTTACCCAAGAACTCATCAGATGCGTCTACGCAAGCAGAACTGAGTGGCTTCAGACCTCATAATTCATATGAAATCAGTGTGTGCACATTCACTAGAGCAGGAAATGGGGATCAGTACACCCTGCCTGTGATATTTACCACCAATGAATCAGGTAATACACACTCACACATCTGTCCGTGTCACATGATCATTCAGAAATCATTCTAATTTGCTGATCTGCTGCTCAAGAAAAATTTCAGGTAACACTTCAGTTGAGGGTTCAGTTCTTCTCACTATTAACTTGTTAACGTACATATTAATTGGATTAGTGCAAAGGTCGGAACTCCAAATGAACCAATCAAAAAAAATTTGTATGAAAAACCATCAAGTCAAGAATAGCTCCATCTATATCAGTTCTGAAAAGTCACATCGTCCTGGGCCAAGAAGTTACAGTTGAGCACGCCATCAGTGAGCTATCTTGAAGATGGAAAGCAGCAGCATTGCGGAGCTGTGCACTGAAAGTGCAATGGAGCGGATAATGCTCTGAATCACTCGAAGAGACAAGATCACAAATGAATGTTTGCGGGAGATGTCAAGGGTGAAAGATGCGATTACGGAGGCAGCAAAGGAAAAGCACAGATGGACTGGACAAGTAGCTCGAAAAGAGGATGATCGATGGACGCTGAAAGTGACAACGTTGTACTTGTACCCCTATAAGATTAAGCGACCTTTCGGACTCAATGGTCAGATTCCCTAAAGAAGAATTTTGGAAGAAACCTGGATCCGCACTGCCAGAGACAGACGCCGATGGGAGACATTCTGTGACCTGTCCTGCATCATCCAGCGGAATGATTGATTACAAACTGAATAAAAGATAACTAGTATATTGTCTGTTTATTAATTCTTATAAAGCACATATTAATGCCTTATTCTGCATGACCATTTTCGGTAACACTTCCTTTTAAAGTCCAGTTACCCATGTAAATACTATGTACTTATTTTAGTAACTACAATTTCAGGGTAATAACTAGTACTAACCCTAAACCTACCCCTGTTCCATGTACTTACCTTATATTAGCCAGTACTTTCTAGGTAAGTACACTGTAAGTACTGTACTGTACCATCAGTACAGTTTAGTACGTTTACAAAAGGAAACGTTACCCCATTTTCTGCATTCCTTAATCCTACCCAATACCTAAACTTAACAACTACCTAACTAATTATTAATTTGCTGTGATTAAGAGTTTATTGAGGCAAAAGTCATAGGTAATAGTGAGAATTTGACCCTAATCTAAAGTTTGACCATATTTCTTATATCAATGTTGAAAAACATTTATGGCTCTGTGTTGCATTTTTTTCAGGTGCCTTTGATAAATAGAAAGTTCAAAAGAACAGCATTTATCCGAAATAGAAATCTTTTGTAACATTACAAATGTACTTTACTGCCACTTTTGATCAATTTAATGCATAAATGATTATTATGAGTATTTCCTTATTTATTTATTTATTTATTTTTTACATGTCAAATGTGAAAGACCTTAAAGCTACACTGTGTAACTCTTTTAGTTTATTCTTAGCTAAAAACACTTAGTTCTTTTAAAAATATATGTGCTCATTAATGTATATTTTCTTCGTTCAAGTAATAAAGTATTCTCGTGAGTGTATAATATGCCACTGAAAATACATGCGGGTAAGGGGTTCTAATGTCGGCCGCCATGCTGCCCCTCCATCTTGAAAGTACATTAGCCAAAGAGGGACATACCCGTTAATTCAAGCTTCGCCTTTCGCGTTTACGTTTGAGTTAACAATCATGGACGAGGTCGAACTGGAAGCCATGTTAATCTTTGACTACATTGGCCACCGTAGGAGTTAAAACGAAATCGGAATTGAGAGGAACAGAAACTAATATTCACTGGATGGTCATATACCTTTTCACCTCTAGATGGGGGTAAAAATCACACAGTGTAGCTTTAACCTATGGCATTAGACTGCAAAGTCTATTTTGTTCAAAATTGTATTCTTTTGTTATATATCTGTGGTGTCTGTGTGTATGTTGCAGTGTCAGATTCAGTTGTAAATCTGTCCTGCTCTGGAATGGATTGGAATTCAGTGTACATGGAATGGGAGCTTCCGATTCATCCTAACGGAGAGATTCTGCACTACCTCATCCGCTCTGGCGATCTGGAGGAGGAGGCCCATCCTCTCACACTCACATACACAGTGGCGCACACTGTTACTGGCCTGTCGCCTGACGTTTTCTATGTCATCAGCGTGGCTGCAGTTAATTCAGCCGGAATAGGGGAGGAAGCCAACTGCACGGCACACACTCCACCAGAGTCAGGTCTTGTGACATTTGGTTGCTCGTATGAATGATTTGGGAAAAAAACAACAATGCTAAGTACTTTGGCATGTAACTTGCTCTGCATCATTTATGCTTTCTTTTTCTGCAGTTCCTGGTCCTCCCCATTCGCTGACCATAATCGACGTTACCTCTGACAGTGTATCTCTGAGCTGGCAACGTCCCGTCCATCTTCCTGGTCTTCTGCAGGGTTTTAATGTTGAAATTGAGCAATTGGCAAGAAATTGTGAGCAAAAGCAGCCCGGGGAGTCCTGCGTGGAGAGTGAATTTGTGGAGCGGGTTGAAGGACAAACCAGCGCAGTCACACTTTCCTCTCTGCTCAAGTATAGAGACTATCGTATGAGAGTGGTGGCGTTCACCAGGGCTGGGGCCGGAGAACCCTCAGAGTGGATCCACGCACAGACGCTCGCAGGAAGTATGTTACACCTCTGTGCATATAGACATTCTCATAAGAAAACAGAATCACAAATGAGTTGAAAATGTTCTCATTGACTGCAACATGAGAATTTAGCATGAATCTCCTTCTCAGATGTTTCCCTTGAGAAAATTATCACAACAATGCCAGATCTCAAACTCTTCAGAAACTCAAACATTTATCATTAAATTCTTTCAAAGCACTAACCATAATGATTTGGATTCTATTGTCTCACTGTATGTCTGCAATTCTATTATGTTAGGTTTTTGAGGCAAAGTTGATACTTTTGTTCAATTCAAATGATCACATTTTTGTAATTTAATTTAGCAATTTATTTTCTTTTTTTCAGTTTTTCTTATAAACAAAAAATATAGGAATATATACATACAAATATTATATAAATATATATATTTGAGTTATATGCATCATTTATATAAATACAATTTTGTAATTTAATTTCTTTTTTAGAATGTGTTTCTAATAAACTAAAATATACATATGTATATTTATTGATTGATTAATGTGAAATATAATTCTTTAAATGTAATTTTGCAATTTCATGTATTTTTCCAGAATGTGTCTAGTTTCTAAAAAACAAAAAATAGAAATGTATATATAAGTTATGTGTAATTGTCTATAAGTTCTGAAATAATTCAAATAGATAAATATATATATATATTAATTGAGAAATATAAATATATATTATATAAATGTGTAGAAAAAAAGATATAAAACATTATCTAGAGGTCATACATTATTACTGTATATCTCTTGTTTTCCCAAAATAATCAGCAAGAAAACGTGATGTGTCAGTATTTTTGTTAATGACTTTTGTTATTTTGAGCACATTAGAGAAAGTAATAATGCATGACCTTGATTGAGTTTGGAATGCATAATTTATCTTTTTTGACGCTTCTATGAGATTTCCGCAGTATGTGGGTATCTTGTGAATCGGTTACGTTCTCACAGCTTTAGTTCCTTACTGAAAATTAATGGACTGTTGTTGAAGCACTGCCCAATCCATTAGCTTTGATTCAAGACATCTCAAGATCAGCATATTTTCCACACATTTTTGAGCATTTGCCTTTTGCAAAGATCATCGTGACTGTGTACATGTGTAGCTTAAAGGGAACCTTCATTAAGTCTCCTGAGCTTTTTAGCAATAAAATGTTTCTCTGGGTTGTCACATACATATAGCATAACAACAACAACAAAAATAGCCCCAGCTCTTCATCTCTACCTCTTTACCCTAGACCCTGATGCCCCTCCTGGTGCCATCTCACTGGTTCCTTCTGCCACTGGGTTAAAGATTGAGTGGGATGAACCATTGGTCATCTCAGGGCCCACCTCATACATCATTGACATCACTGCCGTGAGTTCATAAACTTTAGAAATCTTGTTCATCTGTTCACTTTCTGATAGTTTCTACTTCAATTTCTCCTTGCTCTCTTGCAGTTGGACGGTTCGGGATATAACATTAGCTTAGTGCGGCATTCAGAGGAGATCAGGACGGTGGTTGTCGGGAACCTGACAGCATTTACCCTGTACTCTATTACCATCACTGCCTTCACAGGGCAGCTTTCCAACGCTCGCAAAGACGGCAAAGCATCTGAACCTGTACTTGCCAGAACGCTGGAGGATGGTGAGGACATTTGAGCATGCTTGTTTCTCAGGTACTTATTTGCATTATTTGTGACATCCACGGTTGTGTTTTCCAGAGCCCAAAGATCCTCCCCAAAATTTGTCATTGACGGTCATTCCCGAGGAAGTGACACGTGTTTATGTTACATTCTCTCCACCGGATGAGCCGAACGGAAACATCAGTTCCTACCACGTCGCCATCTACCGAAACGGACAACTGGATTTCTACATCAACAGCCTGTCTGTGATCAGCAACCCTAATAACACCATGACGGCCGTTATAGATGGACTGAAGGGTGGATTCAATTACAGCATAAGGGTAGGAAAAGAAAACCAACTTTTTTGGTGTTTTTTTATACTTGGTTTGATTGCTTTGGTAAGTTTGCATCATCTAATACCATCTAATATTACCATACCACTAGCGGCAGCTATTTAAAATTGTATCTAAGTAACAACAAAGAATGCAGCACCAAAAATGGAAAGCAATAGTTGCATCACTCTTTTTAATCATGTTAAAACTCAAATAATTCTTGCACAAAAATGGTACTTGTAGTTGTTTGTTGACTTAGTTGACTCACAATTAGGCCAAATGCATTTGTTTTCTGCTTGTTGCAGATAGCAGCCGTGAACGGAGCAGGTTTAGGCCCAAGTTCTGAGGTTCATGTCACCACCGATGTGAAAGGTATGAGAAAAAATAATACTTGAGTTAATCAGCTGCTCTATTTTATTGAAGTGACTGTGACTTTAAGTTCCTGATGGGTTTATTTAGCACCACCCAGGCCAACAAGGATGCCGCGGGCTGCTCTGAACAATGCAGGTGTTCCCATTGCAACCTCCACGACCATTACCATAGAGATGCCTGAATGTTTCTTCACTGATGACCATGGACCAATCCAAAAAGTCCAGGTCATAGTTTCTGAACCAGCAGGTATTAAAATCTGTCATTTAACAATACAGCATTATGGGGGGAAAAAATCCAATTCACAATACAGCAATAATGGCAAACACTTTTTATAAGAAGCCATGTTTATAACATAAAAAAAAAAAGAAATGAATACTTTTATTTAGCAAGGATGCATTTAATTGATCAAAAGTGACTGTAAAGACATTTTAAGAGTTAAAGTAATTTAAAATAAATGCTGTTTTCAAAAAAAAATTTAGTCATCACGATTTTTTTTAATCTTACCATTTTGTTTATGTGCGGTATATAGCTACACACACAGAGGTGTTGTGTTGTGAACATTAGAGTATGTTTGTACAGTATAATACAATATGTTCAAAATAATTTTTCAATCAAATGTATACTAAAATGATTTTATTGAAGGGTTTATTGTTATATTGTTCTAATGTTGATGCAGTTATGGACTACGCTAATCTGTCCAACTGGAAGAGTGTTTTCCAGCAACCTACCGCTCCGTACCTGACCGACGAGGGCTTCTTGAACCCAGGCTGTTTTAAGAAATCAGAGCGCATGAGCACAAACACCAACACCAACACGTACATCATAGGAGCAGACGAGGGCTGCCTGTCTGAAGATGCCAAGACTCTTTGCAACGGACCCCTCAAACCCAAAACACATTATGTGTGAGAGACATATGCACACACAACTAAACTGGGTTGTAAATATCCTAATCCAGGAATCTTTTTAACCTGTTACCGTTTGTTTTTGTATTGCAGGTTCAAATTTCGGGCGACAAACATCCGTGGGCAGTACACCGACTCTGAGTACTCAGAGAAAGTCAGAACTGCAGGTATGAACGAAGTAGCTACAAACTAATGTTACAATATTAATCCACATTCAGTATTATATACATTCAGTTAAAGGGATAGTTCACCCAAAAATTAAAAATCTGTCATTGTTTACCATTGAATGGACTTTTATGATACTCATAAGGTTCATTTTTATTTGAGAGCTTGGCAGGCCTTATTCACTTTCATTATTTAAATATATATAGTTTTCCATGGAAGAAAGAATGTCATACGGATTTGAAACGATTTTAGGGTGATTAAATGTCACTTCCTCTGATATTTTCATTTTTGGGTAAACTATACTTATATATTTCTATACAAACTATACCTATATAAACTATACTATGTAAATGTAAACTATACCTATATTACTAATTCTATATAAACCATACCTATATTACTAATTATATTTTCATTAGTATTGTACTTTTTATTATACACTTCCCCCCCAAACATTTCAAATGTTCATATTATATTGCCTTATGATATTTCTGTTAGTTATTGCTACTTTTATTCATCAAAAATGCATTAAATTGATAAAAAAAGTGACATTAAAGGCATTTATAATGTTACAAAAGAGTTCTATTTCAAATAAATTATGTTCTTTGAACTTTCTATTCATCTGTTTCCACAAAAATATTAAGCAGAACAACTGTTTTCAACATTGATAATATTAAGAGGCTTAATAACAAAATGTTTCTTGAGCAGCATATTAGAATTTCTGGAGAAAGACTGGAGTAATGATGCTGAAAATTCAGCTTTGCATCACAGGATTAAATAACATTAAAATATATATTAAAGTAGAAAACAGTTATATTAAATTGAAATTTTTTTACTAGAGTTTTGATCAAATAAATGCATTGTTCATTGTAAACATATACTGCTTCTGCTACATATAAATATTGACTTTGATTTCAGATGACCGCCTGCTAACCAGAAATGAACAGATCATTCTTGGTGTCCTGCTGTCTTTTTTCCTGGCATTGTTTTTCATTCTGATTATTTACGGATCTGTGAGGTAAGTTGATTGTTATTGTAAATAGGGGCTCAACGACATACTCAAATAGTATTTCCCAAAAAGCCCAAAGCCCCTTTTTTTCTGGTTTAACAATTAGACTCACTCTCTCTCTGACCCCAGAATCCACCGCAGACAGAAGGAAGGTGGGACGTATTCTCCACGCGAGGCTGAGATTTTTGAGACAAAATTCAAGCTGGATCAGCTCATTGCAGTGGCCGACCTGGAGCTCAAAGAGGATAAGATTAACCGGTGAGATTCATACACTGTACATGAGCAGTGGGCTTTAGTTACATGTGGATTATTTGCTTTAGTATGCACTTTCTGACTCTCTAATTCCATCATTGACTCACTCATTCATTATTTCCTTAATCACTCATACACTCTCACTAATCCAATCAAACACCAAACACACTTACTCACTATCCTCTGTTCTCAGGTACTCCTCCTTTTTCTTTAGAAGGAAGGAGATTTTTGTCATCCAGTAAGTAGACAGTGATGTTGGTGTTTAGCTGATGCATGACATTACAAGATGTGTTGTATCCGTATTTTAATTCGTTTTAAATTTAAACGTTTTATTTTCCCAGTTGCATGTTGTGCTGTTAGTTCCTGGCTTTGAATCTGTTTTATTATGAATGACTGTGCCAGAGTAAATGATCTCCCTTGCCATCATTTGTGGCTGTTGGTTTCATAATGCTGCTCTGCAGTTCTGCTCTCTCTGAGTGACTCTCCGATTCGTTTTATGTTTGTGTATCTTCGTCTAATTACATTGTGTAGTGAACTTCACTCAGATTCATTTCTTATTTATCTATGGATTTGAAAAAGTAACCTATTTTTTCAGTCCAAGGCCAATTTTATAATAATTCTCTACTGTCTAATGTTCCAGGCTGCTAAGTTACAGGAAATCTATCAAGTAAGTGAATGAGACTATGGATTGATTTGATGTTTTCCTCATCACCCTATTTTTATTTATTTATTTCTCTAGTATCATTCAATAAGCAAGTCTCAAAGACAGATGATTATAACCCTTTACCACCAGCACTTTAGTCTTTAGTGGTTTGTTTAGAGGTCATTAGATACATTTATTGTAGAGATAATGCTTGTTGCTGTGGTAATAATTCAAAAGATGATTATTGTTTATTATTTTGTGTGTATTTTCATGCTCTATTCATTGCTCTCTAACACATTTGCAGGCCAATCAGTAAGAAATCATTTCTTCAGCATGTGGAAGATCTTTGTGCCAATGACAATGCCAAGTTTCAGGAGGAGTTTGCTGTAAGTTTTAGTGTTTAGTGTGTGTGTGTGTGTAGGTGGGCGAGAGAGAGAGAAAGAAAGCACTAGTGAACTGTAAAATGAGTTTCAGTGACACATCATTCTGATTGAGCACGTAGAGTTATGTGCTCAATGGTGTATGTCTTTTTAGAAAATCTATTCCGTAGTTGATTAATTTTCTTTTTTTTCCTTTTTTTACCTTTTCTACGGTGTGTTTCAGGAGTTGCCGAAGTTGCTTCTGGATCTGGCCACTTCAGACGCTGACCTTCCCTGGAATCGTTCGAAAAATCGCTTTACAAACATTAAACCCTGTATGAAAATTTTTGAATTCTGTCATTGTTAGTAGCTCTTATGTCGTTTCAAACCTGTATGACCATTTTGTTCTGTGCAAGACAAAAGGAGACGTTTAAGAAAATGTAAATGCTGCAATATCCCATAATTAAACTATACAATTATTAAATTGTGTCAAGCTCCAAAAAGAACTTTAAATGTCACTTACAGTAATAAGAGTAATATTGTGAAGTAATATTACAATTTAAAATAACAGGTATGGATGGATGGGTTGATAGATAGATAGATAGATAGATAGATAGATAGATAGATAGATAGATAGATAGACAGACAGACAGACGGACGGACGGACGGACGGATAGACGGACGGATAGATAGATGGATGGATGGATGGATGGAAGGGTGGATGGATGAGTGGGTGGATGGATGGATGGATGGATGGATGGATGGATGGAAGGGTGGATGGATGAGTGGGTGGGTGGGGGGTGGATGGATAGATAGATGGATAGATAGATAGATAGATAGATAGATAGATAGATAGATAGATAGATAGATAGATAGATAGATAGATAGATAGATAGATAGATAGATAGATAGATAGATAGATAGATAGATAGATAGATAGATAGATAGATAGATGGATGGATGGATGGATGGATGGATGGATGGATGGATGGATGGATGGATAGATGCATACTGACAGAATTTTAATTTTAAAACTTACCAGGCTTTCTTTATACAAACATTGTTAACACTTCTTTTAACACATCTTTTTTAGATAACAATAACCGAGTGAAGTTACTGTCTGAGCCAGGAATGCCGGGGTCTGACTACATCAATGCCAGCTTCGTCTCTGTAAGCGCTCGAGAGCGGCCCACATATCAGCTGTCTCTTATACTGCGGCACAACTTTAATTGAATTGGCCTAAGCTCCTGTTCTGTTTTGTCTCGTCTCTGTGTCTCAGGGCTATCTGTGTCCTAATGAGTTTATAGCCACTCAGGGTCCTCTGCCTAGTACTGTCGCAGACTTCTGGAGGATGATTTGGGAGACTGGGACCAAAACCATCGTTATGCTCACGCAATGCTTCGAGAAGGGCAGGGTATGTATGAGTGTTTAAATATAACATATATACACATATATTATGTAAACAAAAACTTTTATGCGATTAATCGATTTGACGGCACTACTTATTTGTTTATTTATTTAATGTATAAAGCCCATTTATACAGTGAAAAAGTTTATTTTAGAAAATATTTCTCTGGAAAATAATTGCTTGTGAAAATTTCCAGTAAGTCTTTAGTAAACAGTAATAATATCAGATTTGATTTGATAATAATTTATATATTTGCACAATGCACATCATTTTTTACTAGTTTTACTTCAGAGTGTATAATATACTGTTAATAAATTCAGACTTTTATCCATATTAATGTCATTTTACCTGAAAAGTAATTAGTTAAGTCCAAATGAATAATCTACATCCAAAACACTACTAAATCACAGTTAAATAAATGTGAAGGTTTGACAGTGATCTGCTGAAATATATGCCTCACAAGTGATGTGGCTGTATGTTTCAGATCCGTTGTCATCAGTACTGGCCAGAGGACAATAAACCAGTCACTGTTTTTGCTGACATCATAATCACTAAACTCACAGAGGACGTGCGCCCTGATTGGACGGTCCGGGCACTCAAAGTGGAGAGGGTAAAACAATGTGCATCTTTACATTGTCAGTATTGTCTTTTTACATTGTCGTTTTTATCTTTCAGTTCAACTACTGTCATAGCAGAGCAACAGTTTACGAGAATCTTGTTGAGCAACATAGTTAAAGTTACCAACATTGCAAGCTGGTTAAATTTACACATCCAGTTAAATGGTTCAATTTAAGTTTCATTTAAAGAATTAAGTTTCCAGTTTAATTTAAAGACTAAACTTGGTTCTCTTTCAAGCATACGTTTTGGTGTCTCACTATGGAATACACCCCTTACGTGTATTCCTCAGAAGCCCCATTACATTACACCAGCCCTAGTCTCACGTAGCCAGACCTTCAGACTGACAGCTGAAGGTCTGGAATTCATAGCAGCTTTCTTTGGCCAAGGCCCGCCCATAAGGCCATTTGACCGACATGTCAAACAACAAATTACAGTTCGTTTCGTTCAGCAACACGTTTCAGGGCGTGGAAATGTCCCCACAACAACAGACCGACGTGCAACAAGTCAGTCAGCATAGAAAATCAAAGAAGGAGTGACAAAGTTTACAAGTAGCTACAAATGTTCCACACACATTTCCAATACATCCGAATAGGATTTAAATAAAGAATACCATTACTTACCATAGAACAATGGTGTGCACTTCATCAACAGCCATACCGATGAGACTCTTTTGGTAAACATCTGTTTGAAGCATATCTCTCCACTTTTTGAGTAATTCTGGAGAACCGAACTCAATACTGAATCGGCCAGCTGTGATGTCATAATGCCCCTCAAGAATTTGCAGCAACTTATTCACAGAACACATTATAACATCACCTCGGGGAGCTATCGACCCCTTAGAGGTGATGATAAGCCCGCACGATGGGGTCCGCACAAATCTGGCAAGTTGAGGCCATCGGATGCTTAGAGAAAAAAATTCCGGTGCAGCTTTCACAATGGCAGTGTGAAAAAAGAGATTCTGATGCAATTGTTGCGCCCATGCATTTTATACTTCCCTCGAGCCTGTCAGTATTTGCTTACTTTGCGACAATTGCCCAGCTGTTCCAAGCTAGCGTTAGCACATTAGATTTCAACAAAAGTTGAGAAGGGAGGAGTTCCCGCAGTGTTGCTACGCAATGTAGAGTTACCGCTTTCGAAAGCGGAACTCTGCTGCCCCTGGGGTAATGAGGTTTTCTGACACGCTTGCATGTGTTGATTGAGTATTCGGGTCTGTGGATACATACTTGAGTATATTTGTTACTCTAAGTCCTAATGCACAGGAACACACAGGCCTGCACACAGATGTGGGTGGTTAGATGGATAATTAGTCCCCAAGGATACATTTAACCCTTCCTCTCTCTCTCTTTCTCTCTCCAGCATGGCAACTACATGATTGTTCACCATTTCAACTACACCTCATGGCCAGAACATGGCGTTCCGGAGTCCAGCTCCACACTCATCCAATTTGTCAAAGCGGTCCGCTCCAACAGAGGCCATGAAAACACAACCATTGTTGTCCACTGCAGGTGTGTGCTATCTGAGGTCTTGAAGCTGTTCTCTACAGTCTGTTTCCATTTTTATGTTTGAGCTGATTCGGACTGCGTGGAAGCCCGTTTTTGCCTCAGAGTAAAAGATTAAGATAATTACAACTTCATATCTTTATTTTTGCGCAACTGCAACTATGTTTCTAGTATTTGCAACTTTGTCATAATGTGTCTTTAGTAGTTATGTCAAATTGTGAAATATACTTTATTTCTCATAACTGTCTCTCTACTTCTGCTTTGTCTCAGAATGTGCCTTTTTTTGTTTTAAACGATTTTTATTTCTAAACTCACAATTATCTTTATTTATTTATTTATTTATTTTTATCTGAAGCAAAAATAGGCTTCTACAAAACTGGCCAGTGTTTTTTTAGTGTCTATATCCTTTTTATTAATTTTTAGTACACAAAAATAAGCAACTAGCTGAAATTTTAAAAAAAGGATTTTAGTTAACTTTTGTTTTATTTCGATTAAAAAAAGGTTTCATGGTTGTAGTTTAACATGTTTATAGATATTATGTATTAATATCTAATGTGTGTATGTGCAGTGCTGGTGTGGGCAGGACTGGGGTGTTTATAGCCCTGGATCATCTCATTCAGCATTTGAGGGATCATGACTTTGTGGATATATATGGGCTGGTTGCAGAGCTGCGCAGTGAGAGGATGTGCATGGTGCAAAACCTGGTAAACCCATTCAAAATTTCATTTTTAATTTTTTACAATTTTTAAAATTTAATTTTTTTTTTCATTTTTTTAAATTTCGGATTTCATTTTATCCTGCAAAAGTGGTTAGATAGTGTGAGGGGATCATTTTTCAGATGTTGATATCTGTCTCTCTCTCAGGCTCAGTACATGTTTCTGCATCAAAGCACTCTGGATCTGCTTTCTGCTAAAGGAAACAGTCAGTCCATTTGGTTTGTAAATTACTCCGCTCTGGAGAAGATGGACTCATTGGATGCGATGGAAGGTAAAATATATCTTACAATCAATGCCTTGTGCAGTGCGATTAAAGCTGTTGGTTAAAGATCTCTTTCGTTTTGTCTTGTCTTGATGGAACTGTATTTTGTCACGTTTGTTATCTCAGGTGATGTAGAATTGGAGTGGGAAGAGACGACAATGTAACAGGGACACTTGCGTTCTGTCAATTTGATGGTTGTGAAGGAGACATGGAGACTCATGAAATTCCTACACAGATGCTGGGACTTTGGAGCCTAGGGCCAAACACTGAGCAAAGGATAAAATGAGGAATGGAAGTGATTCAGAAGCAAACTCAAATATTCTTGCCTAAATGGATTGACTCTGGCTCACAATCTCTCATTTACATCAAGGAGACACTCTCATCCTTCAAAGTTTTTTTTCCCCATAGTTCTTGTCCAACTTCTGTAATTATTTTATCTCTACCTACTATATAGGCAATGCCTACTTCAACAAAATGGATCAAACTCCAAAATTATGTGTTCTGGTGAAAGTAAGAATATTCAGCAGCCAGGAAACTATTTTTTATGTCCTGTAGTCAGATGTATTATTAAATGCAATTATTAGGGATGCGAGTCATTAAGAATTCCTAAAACGATGATTCTTTTGGTGATTTTTCTGAAAACATTATGAGATTATTTCAGCAGAAGAGTATATTTATTCACATTGAACATGAACTTGTTCACACTTCCACATCAACGGAAATTTGTTTGTTTGTTTGTTTGTTTTGCGCGCGCACCCTGGCGCTGCAGATACATTCTGTGAACACACCTAACATGCGCTTTAAAGTCGCATGGATTTTGAATATCTGTTGATGTTTTATCGTTCATATCGCTGGAAAACTCGCCCTGAAATACTATTTTAACAACTATTTAGGGTCCACATCAATCAACAGACAATGGCGTTTAATATACGTTCGAGATAAAACATAACTGCGCGTGATTTGCGTTCTTTGAAAGCTAATCGCAGCGCGCGCTTTACTGTCTGGTGGAATTTGATTGGCTGTCAATATTTTACCGTTCAACGTAATTTGAATGTCGTGATCCCATTCCCAACAATACCATTCCTCCGCGTCGTTGTCGGTTAGCACGGTTTTAATTTAAAACTTTGTGGTTTTACAGTAGTTATCGTTCTTGACGTGAATTGGAGAGTTTGAAAGGCCTGACATGAATGATATTTACCCACAATGGGGGGAAACTACTTGTTTTATACGAAAGTTGTAGTGTAACGTTAAGTCTATGTCTAAAGTTTTTCTAATCAATAACTGTGAAGTTTGAAAGAAAGATCTTTCACAGAGCATCTCTTCACACAGTAAGTTAACGCTAACGTTATTTGTTCATTCTTTTGTAAATAACAACTTGATAGACGTCGCTAAGTCGTTAATTTCTTTTATTGCTTCATTTATTCATGTTACACAGGTAGAGATAGGCTACTGAGTGAGAGCAAACCAACATTTGTTATCTCACAAAATCGTAACGCTCTTTCAGAAGTTATCTTTCTTTTGCTTATTTATCAAGCCAAATGAGTGTCAGGAGATGAATTTGTTGTGTGTATTTGGAAATCAACAGTATTTGTGTTTTGAAATAAATATATAATATTTTTCTTTTGAAGACTTCTGCAGATATATTTTGTTGAATGTTGAATTTTGATCTGTTCTTCACACAAAGCTATCATATGACTCCACTTTTAAGATATTTTTTATGGTGTTTTTGTCAATTTGGAACTTTCTTCTTTCTTTTTTTGTTTCTATTTTCTTTCTTTTTTTCTTCTTTTTTTTAAAGAAAAAAAAGAAAAGATTGAGCTCGACTTTTGTCAAAAAATCACCTTTTGTGATGAACGGATGTACAAAAGTCATAGGTTTGGAATTACACAGGAGTGAGTAAATTAAATATTTTTGAATAGTGACAGTAATGGAAATTGTCTGGTGTTAATGATGTTTTTATTGTTTGTTTGTTTCTTTAAATACCTATTAAGGTTTCCAAAATATCTGATTGTTGAAATGATTACAGGAGCTCAATTTCATAGACATCCCGGAGTGCAAGGACTGTCATTCTCTGTATGGTTGCTTTGAAGAGTGAGAGCGCATCCAGTGTGAAAGCAGCAATGCAGGACCTTGGAGAGCAGCACTAAAGCTTGAGAGGACCATTCAGGACAGGTATAGTGCTGGGGGATGTTTGGGGGTACAATAAAACAATAAGCCATTAGAGGCTCTGTATTACTTTGCAGTGACACCAGTGTTTAACAAATAATTAGAAAAAATATAAAAATATTAATAAAATATTATATAAAATAAAATATTAATAACTTAACTGATGATATGAAAGTACACGTGTACATATCCACTATTTTAGATTTCTCAACTTTGAGTAAGAAAGTACCACAGTTCATAAGTTTGGGGTCAGTACAATTTTTGTAATGTTTTTTATAGAAGTCACTTATGCTCACCAAGGCTGCATTTATTTGATGATAATTAATAGAAAAAAATATATAAACAGTAGTATTGTGAAATATTGTTACAATTTTAAATAACTGTTTACTATTTGATTATATTTTAAAAATGAAATTTCTTCCGGCGATAATAATAATAATGTTTTTATTTATATAGTGCCTTTCCAGGGCTCAAGGACGCGTTACAATGAATAAGCAACAATAAAGTGGACAAAGACAGCAGACAAAACAACAGTAGATGAGTGTAAGAACTGAAAATGAGAAGTTAGGTAGATGGGGCAGCATCCAGCAGAATACATTCAGATATAAAAAATGCCGTACAACTTAAGAATTATGACATTCAGAAAATAAGTAAGTTTTGAGCATGGATTTGAATTCAGAAATAGTATTAACAGAACAAAGTGATCGGTGGAGAGTGTTCCACATTTTGGGTGCAACAACAACACTGAATGGTATGCATTGAATGGCATTGAAGCAAGGCGATGCCGAGGGACGATGAGAAGGCTAGAGTCGAGAGCATGTAGGGGTGGAGCAGGTTACAGAGATGGGGGGAGCCAAGCCGTGCAGAGATTTGATGCAAACAGCATCATTACCCCAGTCTTCAGTGTCACATGATCCTTCAGAAATCATTCTAATATGCTGATTTGATCCTCAAGAAAAAATTCTTATTATTATCAGCCTACAAAACAGTAGTTTAGCCACTGTTGTCACATGGAATATTTAAACATTTTCTTCAATGACTTTCTGGGCCGTCAAGTTTCAATCCTTTAGGAGCATGTAGCAGTGATCCACCTCTCAAATTGAATCAAAAATATTTTCATTTGTGTTCCGAAGACGAACGAAGGTCTTTCGTGATTGGTACAGCATGGGGCTGAGTAATTAATGACTTAATTTTCATTTTTTGGTGAACTAACCCTTTAATGCATTTTGCTGGACTGGATTCTTGGTATCAATTTATTTAAAAACTGACCCAAAACCTTTGAATAGTCTATGTAGTTACAGTTATGTAAATTGTTATTTTTATTAAAACTATTATACATTATAAAATGGGGTTTAAGCCTGTCTATGGTTTAAGCACAACAACTTCCGTGCTCTAGGTCGCATCACTTCCGATTCAGGTCGTTAAACATAGAGTAGTTTTACTCAAATTGTCTAAAAAAAAACTATAGCAAAAATGATTCTATCGCATATCCAGGTTGATGTCTAACAGTGTGTTGTTGTTTTATCTTCTCACTAACATGTAGATATTTAAATAAAATAAAAATCCCAAATAAAACTAGATTACCTAAAGAGATGCAAGGAGACCTGTTTTCCTGTTTGTTCATGTGACTTTCGGCATAAAACCTATACTGTTTATATTGTCATAATTCGTTTTTTTTGTTCAGTTTCCTCATTTTTTTGTTGGGCAGGAGTTATCTTATTTCTATAAATGGAGTTAGTTCTAATTAGTGAGCAAACTCAATATGCCAGCTGCATTTAATGGATCCAGTCAATAGTTTTTGAGAAGGTCTAGCCGAACATTAGATTTTGAAATATTATTTAACAGGCTGCTGAGTGCGGTCATAAATCATGATATTTAAGTGCAATAAGTACTGAAACACAAACAAGACACACAAGTTTTTCTATTTTCTGCACATTTAATGATTGTTGAGATATGATTGAGTGACATTGCATATACAGGTTATGAATGTGAGCGTATCAAGTGTCTTTACGCTATATAAAACTTCATAATAGTGCTCAATATAAATATAAATCGTAAAAACCTATTAGATGGGACCATTGCACTGACCATCACAAGGCCATATTTTGACATGAATTTCAGCATTGACTTATTCTTTTTTTTTAATGAGAAGAATTTGAGTAAAGAAGTTCTCACTGAAATATGGACTCTAGGATGCAGTTTATGGTGCATTTTCACAAAAATGCAGTGCACGTTCACAACTTCACAGTCAGAATTCGGCCCCTCGCTGGGTTTAAATGTGTCAGGGATGTTCTTGGAAACAAATATGTTGCTACGTACTAATTTAACCTAGAAAATGAATAGCTTCTGACTCGTCATGGTGTGTGGACATGATTTGAATGGTCCCAGAAACATGTCAGAGCAGATGTACACCAAGTAAAGACTGTATTGGATCAGCGCATCTAAATGAATAAACAGCTGTGCAAAGTATACAATAAAGCTTTTCATTCTCCTACTCTGTATGAATAAATAGATTTATAAATACATTTTTTTGCTGCTTTTCTGTAACGTCTGTGTCTAAGCACAGAATGACATCAATAATGCCTTGGGGGAAAAAAAAAAAACGGATATACTTGTTATTAAAAACTAGTTTTGTGATTCAAAAACCAAGCAAAGAAAATAGAAACATAAATATCAGTGTCGATATACTCCCGATAAAATCTTTTTAAAGATATCTACACATAAACATATGAATCTCTTATGACATGCAATACAGAAAACGTGAATTCAAAGTGGCAAACACAAACATAATTCACCAGATCCTTTTAAAACATAAATATCCCCCTCCCCCCAAAGATTTTAACGTAATACTTTAATAAACATTTTAAGTGATACGTTTTTTTTTTTAAAAATATACAATTTCTCAGTCATACAACATTTGATATTTTCTCAGAGGTTTGATGTGCACCTGGTTTCACATGAAGCTACCTGAGCACCAGGCTTAATCACAGTAACACGCTACAGAGAGTCGCTCTATAGGACCGGACAAAATAAACAGGTTGATTTTAAGATGATTTGCTGGGTTAAAACCGGCCCCTGGGTCTATTGATCAACCATCTCACCACCCTCGTTCAAATTTTGTATTTTTTGCCATGCGTCGCTCTATGAATATGTTGTGAAAATGCATTAGCAAAGTGAAAATTAAATTTGGGAACGCACCTTCACTTTCGTTCTTTCGTTTATACCAGTACTATCAGTAATCCCGAACAGATTAATACTTGATGTACATTCCAATGTGAGTATATATTAAACTAATTCAATCAAATAAAAAGTAAAAAGTTTTTCAGCAGGACACTATAAAATCCTTGTCAAGTCAATAATGTAAATACCTGATTTGGATAAGTAACCACTAAGCTACACCCATTAGATAAACGATCAAAATTATTACAGTAAAGCTCCTATTCCTAGCAGGTATCACATAAAAGTTGGTTTCAACACAGATTAGCAATTCAAATGTGCTTCTTAAAGGACATTAAAATACTTTTGTGGGAAGGCACAAGTCAAGAGCCGGGTGTCCAAAGGTTTTAAAGGGTTCATAGAGTTCAGTCAACAGCCTTGCCCTCACGATCAAGTGCTTCCTCCACACAGGTTGGTAGCGTCCTCAATTTCTCAGCAGCTGAGATTGGGACTCTTGACGGGATAAAAAAACAACAGTAGATGATGCCATATACAGACATAATCTGTAGCTTTTATCTTGAAAATTAGATATGTTTTAGTGGCCATGTCCTGACCTAAATATCATCCAAAACCTTTGGATTCAGGACATTCACATTTCACAGCACCATTTGAATAAGTCACTAAAAGACAGTGATTTGCAGCAATAAAATCAGATTTTGCCATTTGAATGCCAATGTGGAGTCACATGATGTGGTTTGTTGGTTTAGTTCAGACGCCTACTGCAGTGATGTGTGCGCACATTGTTTATTACTATGTCTAAACTAACTCAATGGGTGTTCTCTTATCTTATCAAGTTACTTTTGCATTTTTCTGTTTCAGAAATGTTGAGTATGATGTATATCCAAATATTGGAATTGGATTTCGTCTTTGGAATTTAGACAAACAGGTAAGACCTTTGAAAGAGGGTGGTGATTTCCTATTCCCATTCAAAATGTGATGTGAACATAAATATAATTGCAAACATTTTTTGTCTTTGAACAAATTCACCTTCACAAGCACTCGCTCTATACTACATCCATCTATTGTAGTTCAGGTCACACAACATGAGTGTTTAAGGAGAAATCAAAATATAATCACTTTATTTGAATGCAGGGACATGGTGAACACACATAAAAGATCTGAGAAAAAACCCTCTTAAAAAAATACTATACAACTACTCACTTTAAATGCACACTTTAAGTCCATGAGGACCCAGCTACTCTAAGAATAGCTTCTTTTGAGCAATCAGAGCCTTACAGTTCAGACCGGGTTGCTTGTGCTATTTTGTGTCTTTAAAAAAGAGTAAATGATAGTTTAGTTTTCAAAGCGATAGTTCACATAAATTTGAACGTTCCATCAATATTTATTCACCCTCATGTTGCTTTAAAATCCATATGCTGTTTTTTTTTTTTCAAAGAACACAAAAAGTGATTTTTTTAAGAAATTGTATAGCTTGTTTCCATGCAATGATAGATAGATAACAAAAAATACTTTTGTTACTTGAAATGGAGCTTAAAAAAAAAATTTAGATGAAAAACAATAGAAGTGGTGCCTTGCCAACCAACTGAAATAAAATATTTTTATTATAAATATTTATCATAAATTTCAAATATTTTTGGTGAAGTGCTAAAATGACTAAAACTAAACTAAAACAACATAACATAATTACTAAAATTAAAATAAAAAATTTAAATATAAAAATATTTTTTTATATACTAATAAATACAGAGCCCCTAAAGGGACCTTTGCAAAAAATAAAGAATATTGTGTGCGATAGAATTAAATTCTCTAAAATGCACAGGAAAACTATGGATTCACATAAGTTGTTTAAATATTTCCATAAATATCAAATATATTCATAAGATGATTAATATCCCTGTTAAACCAATTCCTTAAAAATAAGGATTTATTGGTCACGTTGTAACCAGCTTTTTTAATCTAGAGGAGAAGTTTAAACTTTGACATCCATAATGTTGTTTTCCTCATAGTAATGATAGTGACGCAAATTGTACGCAAACCGGAAATTGTAATGCATGCGCACAAGATACGTTTCACGTGAGAAATGAGATACGTTTCGCGTTCTTTATTATTATTATTTTTTTGCAAAGGTCCCTTTAGGGGCTCTGTAATACAATACTATTATAGTATATAATAATACAAAATAAAACTGGAAAGTTGACACTTCATAAAATGCCAAATATGTCTTTCCAATTAACTTGTCTAAAGTGCATTTAAGTGTGCCTGTGAAAGTCATTTCAGAATTGGTGTGGAGATTTTCAATGAATACGAACGAACATACGTTTTGGTCTTAGACACACAAAGCTCGCTGATGGCTTCAGGATATACTTGGAATATTTTGTTATTTATATATGTTAGCAGCATGACTTTGGAACGACATGTGGGTGATTAAATAAAGACAGAATGTTCAATTTAGGAGGTTTGTCCTTTCAACAGGTATAAACTCATCTGTGAGTGTGTTTTATTCAGACTAGGCTGCGTGTCCCGCTGGAGTACCTGCGCTGGCTCAGCAGGTGGCGTGGTGGTGGAGGGGTCGGGGGGCAAAACTGATGCGGGTGATGATAAGGAGGCGGCGGGGGTGGGAGGGGCGGCTGCTGCTTGCCCCCCTCCCGTGACCTGGTGGGCGTGGACACAGCCGATTGGATGAGGCGGTGGGCGGGGTTGTGGCTGAGGAACGCCTCCACGTGGCCACGCCCGGCGGCATCCATGACGATCACCTTGACGATCTGCTGGCACTGGATCAGGGTGTCTGGGGAGATGGTGAGGGTGGAGCCAGGGGCGGGGCTAGGCAGGACGGCCAGGTGTTGCTGAGCGCTGGGTGGGGCCAGAGGAGAGCTGAGTTGGTATGTTTGGAGCCTGTTGTGAATTGACACCTAGTTTAGAAACAGCCAGAAGCAGGAAGCGTTATCAGCCTGGCCTGCTGCACTCTCACGGCCCTCTGGTGCGGATCACACGACGAGGCCATGCCACAGAGCATGCAGGCGGCAGAACGTGACACAACTACGTACATGCAGCGCAGTCGAAGTGGGTGAAAGCAGGGTGACGGGATTTGGATAATTAACTGCTATCTTATGCATTTCCTTTTATTACTGCGCTGCTAATCAGACTGTTATATTTTTATCCATCTGTAAGAAGCATTAAAGTGCCCCTGGAGTGCCTAGACGCTTGACAGCGAGGGTCTTTATTGCATGCTGGATAATTTGCACCTTGTTTTGACAGACCTTGAGTGCGTGTGTGTATGTGAAAGCAAACTCATGTAGCCTGTCGGTCCACACTAAACACTGCTTATTCCTTTTCGTTTTTAAAGGGTTAGTTCACCCAAAAATGAAAATTAAGTCATTAATTACTCACCCCCATGCTGTACCAACCCCGTAAGACCTTCGTTCGTCTTCGGAACACAAATGAAGATATTTTTGATTAAATTTGAGAGCTGTATAACTACCACATAGACTCCTAAGGGACTGGCTCTTGACGGCCCAGAAAGTCAATGAAGAAAATGTTTAAATATCCCAAGTGACTACCGTGGCTCAACTATATGTTTATCAAGCAACGAGAATACTTTTTGTGCGAAAAAACAAACAAAAATAACGAGTTTATTCGACTATTCCTTTTCTTCCTTGTAGGCCAGAAACGAGACTTCCTTAGATTTCCACGACGCATGCGCGAGAATTGCGATCTCCTTACACTACTTCAGTTCAGTTCTCGCGCATGCACGTTATTTGTGTTCCGAAGACGAACGAAGGTCTTACGGGGTTGGTACAGCATGGGGGTGAGTAATTAATGACTTAATTTTCATTTTTGGGTGAACTAACCCTTTAATGAAGTATTTGAATGTGTCCCAGTGCGAGAGCTCCAGTTTAGGCTGTGGGCCCTATCATACACCCGGCGCAATGCCAGATGCGACGTAAGTGTTTTTTGCTAGTTTCAGCCCGATGCAGTTATCGTTTTCACATTCTGCGCATCGTTGTTTAAATGTCAAATGCACCCACTTGTGTGCCCGTTGGCATGCTGGTATGAAAACGAGGTGTGTTCAGGCGCATTGTTGGCATGTTGCTATTTTGAGGCAACTGAAATAAACTGGGCCACAATGAACCGCCCACCATTGACCAACAAAAACCTGGTCTAAAGTCAAGGCGCAGTATTGTTTTTTTTTTTTGTTATTTAAAGTACGCATTAGTAATATACGTCTATAGGCGGGATGTGAATCCACCATGGCGCAAACGCAACTGGCTTTTAAAGGGAACGGGATATTACACTCTAAAAAAACACCCATTACTCATTAAGAGAATAGAGACAACTCTTTTAGGCCCTGTCCACACTACTGCGTTTTCGTTTAAAAACGGAGAATTAAAACGAATACGATCTCCGTCCACACCAGCGTTTTATCTGTGTATTAGAAATGATCTCCGTCCACATTAAAACGACTGAAAACGCGGATCACGTGACCATTCACCAACACTGGGCATGCGCGTGACGGTGTAAACGGTGGCTGACGAATCAGGGAAGGATACGTCATGACTGATGACACCCAATCACAGAGCCGAGCGTGAGCCTCTGCGTCATCGTTTCCAAACTCCTCCGTTTTGTTCCGTCTTCACTAAAACGCCCTCCGGAGATTCAAAACGCAAAACGGAGCTGCAGCGTTTCTAAACTTCTCCGTTTTAGGTCTTCGTTTTTTTCCGTTTTAGTCTGGACAGAAGGTGCAAACGTAGCAAAAGGTCTCCGTTTTTAAACGAAAACGCAGTTGTGTGGACAGGGTCTTAGGCCCCGTCCAGAGATTCAAGCCCTCCGGAGATTCAAAACGCAGCTGCAGCGTTTCTAAACTTCTCCGTTTTAGGTCTTCGTTTTTTCCCGTTTTAGTGTGGACGGGAGGTGCAAACGTAGCAAAAGGTCTCCGTTTTTAAACGAAAACGCAGTAGTGTGGACGGGGCCTTAGACCGATGACCATTTTCCCCATCGTTAAACTAGCAAAAGTGCACTTGTGCCGTGTGCTTTAGATTGTGCGCTTAGATTGTTAAAATAGGGCCCTGTATGTGTATGAATGCGCTTGTCAGTGCGTCTTATTTAAATAAACTATCGACATCATTTCCACTTATGGACTGGCATAAAGCCTTTTAAGTTGAAAGAATTTCACCCCACAACAACAGCAGCTGAAGTGAGAAGCCATAGATTAGAGATCACGACGAGGGGCAGAGGGTGGTGTTTTCTGTTATTGCTCTGCACGAGTGGTGTGTGATTGCAGTGAAGACACCGAGGGCAGGCGTCTCCATTCTGACAGGGACAGAGTGAGCTTAGGGGTCAAAGGGTAGGGGGTGGGGCCAGTGGGGAGGTTATCTCTGATTCTGCAAGGAGATAGTGATGTTAACTACAATACATGCTGTCACCACCTAAAAAAGTTTGGAAACACCCTAGGTTTAAAAATGGGACAATATCAGCATATAAATCCTCAACATTTTTGGTGTAAATGCATTGGCAAATTATGCAATTGAAGAATAAGAATACTTTTCTTCTTGATTGCACATCTTTTTAGCTTCACTGATTGATTGACAGAGCAACAGATCAATCAGAACTCAGTTTGAAGATGCTTTATAAACAGGATTTTTCTATGCTTTGAATTCATGGATTTTTTTAAATACATTTCCATAGTTCTATACTGTATAGACATATATTTATATATTTCCATAGTCCCTTGCAACTTAATCATTGCAAAGTCATCACAAAAAATAATACAGTTTTATGCTGATATTATCAAAAGCCCACTTTGCCTAGGGGTCCAAAATTTTGGAGGACACTATAAATACATGCACACAGAATCGGAACATAATTTGCACTGCGCTCACACCACGATATACTGATACAAACCTCTACTGTGTTGCTTCCTGTTTTCTCATAAAAATCATCCCCTGCAAGCCATACAAATACACAAGACATGAAAAATAGTCTTATTTGTGTGTGTTTAAGTGTGTAAGTGTGTGTGTGTGTGTGTACCTGAAGCAGAACTAGATCCAGCGTGGATGTCTAGTTGTGTGCCGTTCTTGTTAGTTTGATTTCTCACAACCTGTTGTCTTTCTAGTTCCCCTGAGAAGCACATGCATAATTCACTTTAATGTTGGCCACCACAACCATAGCATTCAAACCACAGAGGAATGTAGAGAATTCATTTTTATTCAAGCTAGCCCCTTTAGATAATGATAATGAAGTAAAATTATTTTATTATTTATAGTGTTAATAAACAACACTGTGCATAGCCCACACACACAGCCTATACCCAATAATGTACTATAAATAGTGATGCTATTCTAAAGTGTATTAACCGGAAAAAGCACAAAACAGTCTTGTCAAAACTCTTAAAGGTCCCGTATTATGCCCCTTTTCACAAGATGTAAAATAAGTCTCTGATGTCCCCGGAATGTGTATGTGAAGTTTCAGCTCAAAATACCCAACAGATCATATTTTACAGCATGTTTAAATTGGGGCTCAGAAAAACGCGCTGTTTTAGTGTGTGCCCTTTAAATGCAAATGAGCTGCTGCTGCCGGCACAGGGGGCGGAGCTTCATGAGCTCGCTCAGTCTCTCAGGACAATTTCATCTCACGGAATGATGATAATATCAGAAACTCTCAGTAACAGTGTTCATTTCGCGTTGGACAATAATGCCTACAGAGTCAGAGTGCTCTATAGAGATGGAACAGGTATAGTTTAGTAGTTTAATTATGGTTATTATAACGTATTTGTCATCTGCTTGTATGTATCCATTATTTATTAATAGCCTACAAGTCTGCTGTTTCGGACCAGGTCCGAATGATGATCAAACATGAGTTTAAAAGATGAAACGTAAGTTTTACTTCAGAAAATCACCATAAGAGCTGAGTAAACACAGTAAGTTATATTGAGGGAGCATTCCTGTGGGCGGACGTTAGTCAAAAAACTGTTCTACTGACGTCATTAAAGAAGGAAGTAGAGGGATGTAGTCCAAACGGGCCGTTCGATGTAGACTACTTCTGTTAAATAAAATATCTCGCTTGGCATGGACTTTGAGCTTTATAATTTTACAGATATTATTTATACTCTAACAACAACATTACACACTAACTAAAGTTTGAAATATGGGATCACGAAGAACGGGACCTTTAATAATAAAGATTCTTTTTTGACATTGATGGTTTCCGTGAAGAACCTTTACCATTCATAGAACCTTTCCATTGCCCAGCGTTCTTTGTAGTGGAAAGGTTTCTTTTGATTATTTAAATATTCTTTGCACTAAAAAAAATGGTTGTTTTATGAATCTTTCACTGAAAGATTCTTTGGGGAACCCAAAATGGTTTGCTTGCATTGCTGCAAAATCTTTTGAACTCCTTATTTTTAAGAGTGAATAGACCAAAAATTTTCTGAAGCAAATGTGAGTGATGTTTGCCTGTAAAAACTCACCACTAAGATTGTTAAACATGTTGCTATGTGATTGCTAGGTGGTTTATTACTGTTCCCTGGAACAGTTTTTTTAAATGTAGAATTGAATTGAGCAAAATGAGCGGTAACAAAACTCACACTCAATCCGAATTTGTTCCATCTCTGCCACCTCTGCGATGCTCTCTCTCAGGTCCTCTACAAACTTGAGCAGCTCCTCTGAGCTCTGAGAACAGAAACTCACCACCTGCTTCTTCTCCGACGAGAACGGAGACAATATCGTGATTCCATGAGGGTAATCTGTGATGGAGAAAACACACTGTGTATCACACATCTGATACTCCAAGTATTGAGGAAGCTCCTGCTTTGAGGATTTGTGAATTTTCCTGATTTTATCATTAAAAAAAAAAAAATTATCCATCTGAATTAGGTTACAAATTAACAAAATGGTACTTAAAAACAATTGGTCATTCTTCAGAAGCAACTGAGTTATATAAAAAATGATATAAAGGGTTATTTATTTATTGTAATATTTTTCAATATTTAGACATTTTAGAACTTTTTTTACATACAAATACTGTACTGTAGTACTTTCATGGTCAATTAACGGTAACATACTTTTTACTGTATTTATAAATATTACAGTAAAATACTTATACAAATATTTATGTAGTAAAATATTAACATAAACAACATTTAACTGTTTTGTGTGTGCTTGTGTTCTTACACTCATTCTCAAACAGATGGAATTGCATTCCCAGTAAACCCATGGCCTTGCAGAACGTGTATGTTGCGGCACTCTTCTTCTTAGGGCATAGTTTTAGGATCTAACATTATAAAAAAAGATTTAGTGTATTTTCAGTTGTTTGTTTGTACATGTGAGAATATGCTTTAATCTGTGTGTCTCTCACCACTATCAGGTCATTGAAGAGGAACACCTCTCTCTGATGTGAAGCCTGTTTCTGCGGTTTATTTACATCGGTGACCTCATAGAGTCGACTGCAGCACACCAGCCTACGGTGAGGAACTGACAGTATCTGAGGGAGAAAGAGAGAGATCAAATATGGGTACAGCTTCCGTCAGCACAGGAAATGAAAAGAGGGATTTCTGTTGCTGCATGGGCTGATGAAAGAAATTATATTTCATATGGAGGCACAGTGTTTTGCTGCGCTGTCATGTGGAATCTAAAATTACAGCGCCAAACTAATGAGCAGTTTCAGTCTCAAGTTTCCTTTTTTATACCTGTTTTTAGAAACTGATTCACTCACCTGTTAGCATACAGAAGTGGGAAAAATAATGACTAGAAGCTGTAATGTGAATTTAACTGGCTGATGCTTTGGGCAAATTTTTATGTTTACTTTATCATATATCATATATGATCAAATTTAAGTTTCAGAATTGTATATGAAACCCATGTTGTTCACCTTCCCTATTTTTCAGCAAGTTCTTATGCAGAAACAGGTTCATTTGCAATAAGAAAAAAATATTAACCTTTTCCATTAATAGCACAAAACATACAAAGCGACCAGTGTAGTTTGATTACACAACAAAAATTTTTATTGAATAAAAAACATTCAAGACAACCAGTGTAATTCCGCTTAACAAACAAATGTTTTTTATAAGCCGTTTCTTTTCAGTGAATTAAAAAACACACAGTATAGCACAACCAGCATAGTCTGAATCCTGAATAAATGACTCGTATGAGCTTTTTTTAGTGAATCAAACGCATACATCACATATGAACAGATATATTTAAAAAATATATAAAATATTTTCCTCCATTTTTTTTAATGGTTTTATCAAACTTGTGTATATATAATAGGGCTGTCACACAATTAATCGCGATTAATCACATCCAAAATAAAAGTTTGTGTTTACTACATAATATATGTGGGTGCACTGTGCATAATTATACTGTATATATATATAAATACACACGCATGTATATTTAAGAAAAAAAATATTATTTATATATAAAATATTTATATTTATATATAATATAAATTATATAAACATCTAAATACAGTATATACATGAAAATATTTCTTAAATATCTGTATTTATATATATGCAAAATAATTATACACAGTGCACCCACATATATTATGTAAACACAAACTTTTATTTTGGATGCGATTAATTGCGATTAATCGTTTGACAGCCCTAATATATAAATAATATATAGCTGCGCTAGATGAGTGATAGTAATGGCAATGGCAATGTTTGGCTCAGCAAGACCCACAGTAAAGTTGAGGAGACAGTTTGGTCAGCTATCTCACTGTCTCTAATCACCTTTTCAAATCTGGTACACACCGAACCAAAAGGTGATGCACTTTTCACTTTTACATGACCTTTTTGATTAATTGGTAGAGAACTGACTCACCGTCTTCATTCCAAGAATACTTTGCTCCACCCTGGTAACGTAGGTCACATGATCCTCATTAGAGCGCAGCTCCCTTTGCTGAATCCGCTCGTAAATCCCGGCTAGCATCTCCCGTGGAATGTCTGCCCCATCGTCCACTCCTGAAGTGGAATTTATTTATTTATTTATTCTTTTTTTTTTTCATTATAATACAAAAGTAAAAAATATAGTTTAAAGGGATAGTTCACCCAAAAATGCCAATTTTTACATCATTTACTCACCCTCAATTTGTTCCAAACCTGTATGGGTTTTTTCTTCTGATCAAAACTAAAGAAGATATTTTGAAGAATGTTGGTAGCCAAACAGTTGATTAAAAATACTATGACTACCATCAACTGTCTGGTTACAAACATATATATATAATATCTTCCTTTGTGTTCAACCGAAGAAAGAAACTCGTACAGGTTTGGAACAACATGAGGGCGAGTAAATGATGACAGACTTTTCATTTTTGGATGAACTCCATTTAAGGCAGGAAAAACTCTATAGCCTGTGTAATAGGAATAAATCTTTTGTTAAAGATCACCGCATTTAGAAAAGCAGAAGTGTCACATGTACTTTTAAGTGACTTATTGCTGTTTAAATTGATGATTTATTTGGCTCTGTGGTAAAGTCCTATTAGAAAGTGGAGCTTGACTAATAACAAGCTGATTTTGTTCCAGTCCCCATGTTTTTACATTCAATTTAAAGAAGAGCTCTCTTATACTTTATGAGTTTGCAGGAAGTAGGCAACAGATCAAAAATTATTTGATTAGAGACCAGGAATCTGTCCAAGACACAAACACACACACACAGACTGTCTACACTCCAAGGAGATAATCAAAGTGACTCTTTTGATATGAAAAGAAAAATGCTAATTTAAACAGAGATTGAAAGCTGATTAAAATCGGCAAGATTTAAAATCAAATATTTAATCTCTGACCTCAAAACACCAACAAGCTCTGGTTTTAATTAACCTTCAAATGGTCTTCGTTTCCTGTTTACACTTCTGGGCTTCAGGGTCTATACAACCCCAACAATTGATTGAGTAATTGTACAAAAAATATACATTTTTAATCATACAAATAATATTTCATTTTTTTGTTTACTTCTCATCTATTCATTAATGCTGTGTTTTTGGAGATATAAAGTACTTTTGTATCCATATACCACACAATTCCTCAAATACACCATTAGCTTGCATATAAGATATTATTTTTTATGATACATTGCATTTATGCTCTAGTACTAGGCCTTCATTTCTGTGTAAAAATGTTCATATTTATGCCAGATTTTGTTTTTGTTTTTTTTGACACAAAATATAATTCTTTTTTTTTTCACATTTCCCATTCATTTCAATGTGGGGTCATATTGACCCCGAAGACCAGAAGTGTAAACATTTTTTACATACCTTCAGAACAACCAAATAAGGCCAGTTTGTGTGTGTGTGTGTGTGTGTGTGTATAGATAGATAATGTATGAAAAGTCACAAAATCTTATTCCACTGAGATGAACCTTTTTTTTTTTTATAAAGTAAAATTCGATTGGGGTCGTATATAGACCCGATTGAGGGCTACCAAAGCACACATAAACACACCTCGTAGGTTGCGTATGAAGTCTTCCAGCAGCATCTTGCGCTCTGGTTTTATGTTGGGACTGTACATGTCTGTGTTCAGCAGCACGATGGCAAAGGCCAAGATGAAGATTGTGTCGGGATTATGAAACTGTTGCACCACGTCAGGGTTACACATACAATATCTCTGACTGAAAGAAGGAACAACAGATGACAAAGCAAGGCGGATTATAGTAAATGTACCGCACCAAGGAAAAGCTGTGGATAAAATGGCCATAGTTAATCTGAAAAACTGCATGTGTGTTTAGGAAATAACTCTTCAGTGGTGTGTGTGATTCTCACCTGAATGCTTCAATGAGTCTCTCGACTTTTTGAGCTTCTCCTTGCACTCGCACGTGAGCCTGAAACTTCCTCAGAGCTTCATCCAGCTCCAGCATTGAAAAATCCATCTCATCCACCACACAGCTGAGAAAGAGAGAGAGAGAGAGACCAAATAAACCTCATAAATGTGCTCTGTTTGAATTAAGAGCCCAATTTATGAAGCTCCAGCACTGTAAGAAATGAAAATGTGCTGTTATTACCTTCAGTGATTGGTTCTTAAATTATAAGCCCCAATCCTGAATATGCAGTAATATTCATACGCTGGTTAATGCCGTCTTATTAACTCTAATCGTAATGTTTCCCTTTCAAAACAAGAATTTAATTTCATAGTTCGTTATTTAACATTATAGTTTCATATTATTAATTAACAAAATATTTTTTTCACATCTGCGAAAATGTTTTTTGTTTAGATTTTCAATTTATTGCCATTGACAATTCGGATCTTTTTTCCATAATCTTGTCAATCCCTTGCATACATTTATTTCTATGTAGTATATTTGTGTATAGTTTTGGTCTATTTTGTACATATGTTATTCATCTATTATGTTTATATTGTGAATATGTATTTATTTATTTATTACTTTTTTTATCTTTATTTTATTACTATTTATTTATCTGGTTGCTGTTCCAGTGCACTGGAATCTTCTTTTATCACCAAGACAAACATACTGTACTTGACAATAAATCTCATTCTGATTCTTTTTTTTTTTTCAGTTTAAAAATGTTCAAATAATTGATGTTAAGGCTTATGTGGATTTTATAGGATTTAGGACTAAAAAATTGCTTCATCAGACAGATCGTTGGCAAAATGACTATATAGAAAACTTTGTGCATAAAAGTTTGTGAAGACATGACTCACTCTAACACATCTCTGTTGAACTGCCTTTTGCTGTTACCGAGGAACTCTCCAATCATCTGTCGGCTCAAACCCTTCCTCTGCAACAGGAAGTGAGCCACACCAATGGCGGTATCTGGAATAAAGCCCCTGGATATCAAGAACTGGATGCCTTTGTCTGGATTTCTGCAGGAAGATCAAGAAAGATGTAGATGAGTACTAACTTGTTTTTTTTTTCTAAAGAAAGCTAGAGCTAAGACTTTATAATAACTATCATTTAGACAATTTGCTAACATTATATTATTTAATGCTAATTATGATATAATATACCTTGATGTACATTTAAGGGGGGAGGGGGCAAAACACTCAGTTTGGGATTTTTACCCCCATCTAGCGGTGAAAAGGTATATGACCATCCAGTGAAATTTAGTTTCTGTTCCTCTCAATTCTGATTTCGTTTTAAATCCTACGGTGGCCAATGTAGTCCAAGATTAACATGGCTTCCAGTTCGACCTCGTCCATGAGTGTTAACTCAAACGTAAACGCGAAAGGCGAAGCTTGAATTAAAGATGGAGGGGCAACATGGCGACCGACATTAGAACCCCTTACCCGTATGTATTTTCAATGCCATATTATACACTCACGAGAATACTTTATAACTTGATCGAAGTAAATATACATTAAGTGTTTTTAGCTAAGAATAAACTAAAAGAGTTACACAGTGTAGCTTTAATCTTGAGTACCTATAGAGTAGTAGATCTCCAAAAAAGTCTTTAGATGAGAATCCATCTCTTTAACATTGTAAACAACTCTGAATACACCATTGCCCCCATATACATTTTTAATATTTATACTTAATCATACACTACCTGTTTACCCATTTTTTAATAAAGTTTCCACAAAAATATTACAAACAAAAATTGCTTTCAACATTGATGATAATAAGAAATGTTTCTTGAGCATCAAATCATCATATTAGTCCGTGCATTTCACACTAGGCCTTCAGTGGTGTCCTACTTTTAATAGTGTAGCAGCGCAGTGAGTCCGGGAAAGGCCGGGTAGAGAGAATCGAGCGAGTGAGTTCAGCTTGTTAGCTAGTGTACACTGTACAGTGGTTCTTGCGTTCTGATTCAGAAACGGAGCCTCCCTTGTCTTGTCCTTCAAGGGTTACAATAGTCCCTTGTCTGATGTTACAAAAAAAATTCATATTCATATTCACCATGGGAAACCTGGGGGCTGAAAAGCATTATACTCACCGAAACTACGGATCAATTTACACAAAATCCATCCTAATTTCTTTCCTCAATAAGACTTAAATTAAGGTTGTACAGGTTACTTTGATTCTGAAAGCCTCAAGGCAGATTTATTTGACGCTGGCAACACATGATGGCTGAAATATGATTGGATAAAAGCTCTAACATAAACATACACTACTAGAAGCAGCGCAACCAAAAGAAAAGCTATGAAATTAAGCGAATGGACTATTGGGAATAATTTAATACTCATTCATGGAAACATTCTGATCGTGTTCAGGCCTTGCTGGACTACTTGAATGGACACCAGTGAAAGCTTCTGTTTTATTATTGCTATTGCATTGAGATGTTAATTTATAATAATACTGATATGTCCTTCTCAGTCTCTCTTTGTATTTGTCTGTTTCATGTTTTCTTCAGCATCAGTCTCCGAGATGACATCACTGTAACATGCATTTTTTCCACCTCTCCGAACATCCATCAGGTCACATCCGACCTTATACTGGCAATCGCACACACACACATACACACACGCACACACATTGTGAGTGAATAGCTGGAAAAAAAAAATACAATTCCTGCATAGAGCTTGACAGAAACCTTGTAAAAACAACATTGTCCCTTGGTCACACAGCCTGAGTAAAACCGTGACTGTAGATCACCTGGTTACCATGGCAGCCGTGGCACTACTCATGTCAAGCATGTCAAAGTGAATCTGATCTGAGATTTCAATTGAGTGCTGATGCACTCTGAATCCTCTGAGGATTGGCTTTATTCTCTCTCTCTCTCTCTCGCTCTCTGTGTGTGTGTGTGTGTGTGTGTGTTTGTCTGAAAGAGCTACACACACAAAATGGAGCAGAGAAAGAGCTTCACAATCACCCCTGAGGGAGTGTAATATAGTCTTCTTGAGTATGTGTGTATGTATACATGTGCAAGTGTGTGTGTATTTGTCAGTGTGTATCAGCAGGCATAATGAAGATGCACTCAAACTCTTTAGTCATGGGCAAACTGACCCAGCAAACAAAAGCTCTTTTGTGAAATCATATTTTTATTTACAGCAAATGTACCCGCCAATAAAGTCTATTGTTTTTAAATTAGATTTAGTGGGTCTTACCGTCTGGCTAAAGTGCACATCACTATGACTGTTGCTCATATTTTGGATTAGTATTTGGAACAAATCTATCAAATGTTTGTTTGATTGCAAGGCTTATAAACCTTTAAACTGTAAACTTTTTTTTTTACCCAAAACTTTCAAATAAGACTTTGAAAAGCCAAAAATGAAAATTTACTATTAAAATCTTTGCTTTTCTAGTTAAATATTATAGGTTTTACTGTCTTTGTGGGAACATCTGAGCCTTACAAACAGCAAAACCAGTAACACACACTAAAAAAAGCCACTTTAAATGGAAAGATCCATCTTTAACCTTTGTACTCACACATTGAAGAGGTTGAGTCCAATACGGTAAAGGCGTTTGCGTGCGATATCTGTCGACAGCGTCCCGCAGGGTGTGTCCTGGCAGTGTGGGCGGGGCAGAGACAGAATCATCGTCTCGCACGCTGATGTCGAGGTGCTGCTGCTACTGACAGGCTCTGAGCTGTTTTCCGCCGTCTCGGGAGCAATCTGATTGGTCTGTTTCCCCTCCAGGCCCGCCCCTGCTGTCGCTGCTGCATCCGATCCGGTTGGCTGTTGGTTCTCTTTCTCTTCCTCGCTGGGAGGCGGAGGTGGAAACTCAGGCATCTCCGTGGCTGACGATGCCGATTGGCCTGCGATCTTTCCCCCTGTTTGGACTTCAGAGCCGGTCTCCTTGGATATGCCGTTACCAAGGGAAACTGACTCCAGCATGGAGGAGGAGGAGAGGCGAAAGTTGTGGTTATCAATTTGAACAGTCACATCCCTGAAAGCCATCATGAGTTTACTGGCGCTGCGGGGTAAGTTCTCCCCACAGCCCCCTGGTGGGGCCTCCTGTAGGGTATTGGGGTCCATCAGGAGCCCCTCGGGATGGGATCCAGAGGGAGGGGCCACAGAGGACTTCTCTCCTTCCCCGTCTCTAATAGAACTCCAGCCGCTCAAAGCCTCGTCAATAGACCGTGCTAATGTCTGAACCTGGCAGGGAGAATAGAATAGAATAGAACACATTTGAATAAAATAGAACAGAATACAACATATTTGAATTTAATGAAGTAAAACTGAATATAATAGAACCTAATACAACAGAATAGAAAAACATTTGAATTGAAGACAACGAAATACAATAGAATAGAATGGAACAGAATAAAACAAAACAAAAGTACAGAGGGGAAAGTACAAATGCAATAGAATCAAACAATAAAATAGAATGAATAGAACAGAATAGTTTGTGTACTTGAACTACAGTAAATAGTCTGAACTGATTGCAAATGCTGTATCATCATGTGTGTTACAGTTTTTCCCAGTCGCTTTGGTGCATTTCTCACATCACTATTTACATTTGCAGTTCAACCTCCACAACATTTAGTCATTTGAGCACATCATAGTAGCAGTTTCTCATTCCTTCTAATAAATTGCAAATGCTTTTGGACATGCATCAATTTTTTTCACACAACTCTCTGCTGTTTTATAGCATTATCATTTGCTTATGTCATGTCAGTCAAAATTAACTACTGGTATACTTGTGAATGCTGAATAGTCATTCCATATAAAACTAATAGTCATCATTTCATTCCTTGAGTCATCACATACACAAATATTGATCTAGTTGTCAAAATCTGTTTGACAATTTTTTTTTTATCTTTTTTTTTATCCTAAATTGAACAATTTCTCTCAGGTGAACCTCAGCTTTCACTGATGAGAAGGGATGTGCATGAATGATTTACAGTACTATGTGTATGTTGTATGTTCAGTTCCAATATGTACTGTGATATTGGCAGGTCTGAGTATTTTACAATCTCAGTTACTGGGATTTTCACGCACAACCATTTCTAGGGTTTACAAAGAATGGTGTGAAAAGGGAAAAACATCCAGTATGTGGCAATCCTGTGGGAGAAAATGCCTTGTTGATGCTAGAGATCAGAGGAGAATAGGCTGACTGATTCAAGCTGATAGAAGAACAACTTTGAATGAGAAAACCACGCGTTACAACCGAGGTATGCAGAAAAGCATTTGGGAAGCCACAGCATACACAACCTTGAGACGGATGGGCTACAACAGCAGAAGACCCCACCGGGTACCATCTCCACTACAAATAGGGAAAAGAGGCTACAATTTTCAAGAGCTGACCAAAATTGGACAATTGAAGTAAAAATATTGCCTGGTCTGATGAGTCTCGATTTCTCTTAAGACAGATGGTAGAGTCAGAATTTGGCGTTTAAACAGAATGAGAACATGGATCCATCATGCCTTGTTACCACTGTGCAGGCTGCTGGTGGTGGTGTAATGGTGTGGGGGATGTTTTCTTGGCACATTTTAGGCCCCGTAGTGCCAATTGGGCATTGTTGGAATGCCACAGTCTACCTGAGCATTGTTTCTGACCATGTCCATCCCTTTATGGCCACCATGTACCCATCCTCTGATGGCTACTTCCAGCAGGATAATGCACCATGTCACAAAACTCGAATCATTTCAAATGGGTTTCTTGAACATGACAATGAGTTCACTGTACTAAAATGGCCCCCACAGTCACCAGATCTAAACCCATATGGGAGCTCCGTGCCCTGGATGTGCATCCCACAAATCGCCATCAACTGCAAGATGCTATCCTATCAATATGGGCCAACATTTCTAAAGAATGCTTTCAGCACCTTGTTGAATCAATGCCACGTAGAATTCTGAAGTTCTGAAGGCGAAATGGGGTCAAACACAGTATTAGTTTGGTGTTCCTAATAATCCTTTAGGTGAGTGTATTATTACTTGTAGTAAATAAGGGTGTTTTTTCAATGCTGTGAACAAATTAGAATTGCAAAGAACATATGCAGTAAAAATTTGAAACATTCAGTAAATATTCAGTGTCTTACTCAGTTACCTCACTAAATACAGTAATGTGTAAC